CAGTAGAGATGAGGTCTCGCTGCCCAGGCGGGCCTCGAACCCGCGGGCTCAGGCAGTCCACTCACCTCAGCCTCCCAAAGGCGCGGGATTACAGGCTGAGCCACCGAGCCTGGCTCATTTATATATTTTTAACATTCTCTGAATCATACTATGCATATTCATTTCTTCAGCAAATGTCTACTGTCTTCCATGTACCAGGCACTGTTCTAGACCCTCCGGTTTAACAGTAAACAGAGTCAGCAGCCACTTCTCTCAAAGAGTATACAGCTGCTTTTTTCCCCACAAAAATGTCTTAGAGCCCTTTCTAAGATGTTTCATACAAACCCACTTCATTTTTTGCAATGATGACCCATAAAATGAGTGTGTCGTCACTGACCTTCCAGGGAGTTGTCAGGGTACCTGCCTGTCTCCTCATCCAGGTAGTGAGCTCTGTGAGTGCAGACACCTGTAGGCACCTGCCGTGTTCTCAGTTCCTAAATGACCTCCATCAGTGTGCATGCCACTGCATTGTGCTGGGCTGCGTCTGTGTCCTTCACTGGGGGCTCCTCAGAGCCAGTGTCAGGAGAGTAGGTGGGCTGCTTTAACAGTAAACAAAGTCATGGTGATGTAGTTAAAGTAAAAGTTGCCTTTTTCTCACTTGTAGGACGAGCTGTTTAGGCAGTTTAGGGCAGGTAGGTGGCTCTATGCCATTGGTTGTTCCAGGACCCAGATTTCTCTCACCTGCATTGCCACATTGAGTGAGTGCGTCTGAGTTCCAGGGGTAAGATGACAGGGACGTCAGGAGCAAGGTGCCTGCGTCCATCATGCCCCTTACATCCTGGGTGTCAGAATTCATCACAGCCCTATGTAACAACTGCCGAGGAGGCTGGAAAGTGCAGTCCCTAACTGGGTGGCCATGCATCTAGCCGAAACTCAGGAACTGGTAGGACTAAAGGAAAGGTTTCCAAGTGTATGTGGGAGGCCATTCTCCATTCTAGACAGGGGTCCATTTGCTCCTCAGCATCCCCATCACAGAGTGGGCACTCAGGGAGCCTCCAGAGATGTGATAGATGGATGGATGGATGGACGGATGACAGAGGGTTTGTCAAGGAGGTGACTAGAACATGCTCATTGAATGCTTGAGAGGAAAGGAAGGGACTGAAACATAGCTAAGAAGCTGGAGTTGTGGTTGGTTGGCGGTCAGTGCCCTTTCTCTACCTGCTGTAATCCTTCCCCACCTTCCAGGGCAGCACTGAAGGAGCGGAATGGAGTGGTGGCCGAGAGTGACTCTCCAGTGAAGAGGCCAGGGAGGAAGACAGCCCGGGTCCTGGGTAGTGAAGAGGAGGAAGAGGATGAAGCCCTCACTTTCCCTAAATGCCAGGTGGGTCCCCATCAACCTGCCCATTTTTATCAGAAGAAACCATAATTCCTGTTAGCTTTTGGAACTGAGTGCAGCAACTGCTCAGGAGGATTCTGGAGACATTGCCCAGGAGGTGGACGAGTTTAGTGGTTGTGCCTGGGGGGCAGACAGCCTGGTCCAAACTGTGCCCTTACCCTGGGACCTCAGGCAGGCTCCTTGACTGAGTCACACCTCAGAGGCCTCACCCATAACATGCAGCTCCTGGTAACACCTTCTGCGTAGGGTATCTAGGAAGCTGAAGTAAGCTGATTTACATACAGATCAAAAAATAATGCCTGGTACAAAACAGGGTCCCAAGTATATCCAGTCTCTTCTATGATCAGAGGACTTTTAATCTTCTCCATATACTGGGGATCACTTTCTTCCTCTGTTTAAAAGTCACTTTGTGCTTGTTCCTCGCTCTGTAGACAGCGTCCAGCATGCAGCTCTTCTCAGTCTGTCAGTGGTGAGGTCAGGTCCTGTCACTCCCTGCTCAGTGCCTCTTGTTGTTAACATCTCAGCCCAAAGCCAGTCCTTGTGGATACCAGCCAGGCCCATGTTCCGCCTCTCTTCCCCCTGCCCATCACACCTTCAACCTCATCTGTAAACCTTTCCTGGCTTTTCACACACCCAGGTAGGCTTCTACCTCAGGTCCATGTGTTCTTTTCCCTCCTTGGACTCTTCCTCAGATCACACATGACTCGGTCCCTCTTCCAGGCTTTGCTCAAATACCACTTTCTCAGTGAAATGATCTTCACCTCCTGTCATGATTTCCTATGTACTGCTGTCAAAATTTACCACAAACATAATGGTTTAAAGCCACGTAAATTTATTATCTTGGGGTCAGGAGTCTGAAATGGGTTTCACTGGGCTAAAATCAAGATGCCAGCAGGGCTGCCTTCATTTCTGGAGCTCTGAGGGAATCCATTTCCTTACCTTTTCTGGCTTCTGGAGTCACCCTTTTCTCCATTTTCCAAGCTGGCAGCATTTCCTTGTTCTGTGCCTTTCTTCTGTGGCCACATCTCACTGACTCCCCTTCTGCCTCCCTCTTCTGCTTTTAAGCACCCTGTGATGACCTTGGGCCCACTGGACAATCCAGGCTAATCACCCCTTCCTAAGACCAGCCTATTCACAACCTAAATGAGCCTGTACCATAGAACCTAACATAGTCATGGTTCCAGAGATTAGGACATGGACATCTTTAGGAGCTTGGACTTCATCCTGAGGCCACTAGGGAGCTATAGAAGGTTTTCGAGCAGAAAAGAAACAGAGACATCCTGGTCCTGGGCAGTGTTCAAAATACTTCTTTGAGACCTATATCCATCAAGGTCTAAGTAGAAGACAGAAACTACACAGTGACTTAAATAGGGAATTTAATGTAAAAGATTGTCAACTAGATTTGCAGTTGTTAACGACATAACTGAAAGGGTAGAAAGGGAACTCTGAGATATCACGGGGGTAGCAGCTGCGGGATAGAGCTGCTACCCCCATGGCTATGGAACTGAAATTCACATCTGTGTGGCAGGAATGCTGGCAGGAACACGTGGGCCTGAGGTGGAAGCCCATCCGGGAGTGCGAGCTCCTCCTCTCTGATCTTGGAGGAGGTGCCCTGTGGGACTCAGATTTTTGAAGTGGGGGGCACTGGGTGAGAAGTGTGGTATTTGCTGGGACACCATGAGGCAGGCCCTGAAAGTGTTGGGAAAACGGCCAGTTGCATCCAGCAGCTGCCCCAGGATAGTCTGCTGTGCCTCAGCTGTGCAGTCACCTCTAGATCCCCTGTGTTGGCAATGCCAGGCACAGAGCTGGCTGCCAGAGAAAGAAAGAGATTGCAGAGTCCCAGGCCTAGCATCACAAGGGAGCTCAGAGAGTGGTCGACTTGGAGCTGAGAGACAGTCACTTAATACTTGGCACAGGGCCCTGTAAGAAGGTAAGTCAGTAGTTGAAACTGAGACCCAGTAACAGAGGCTTCGGCAAGACACAAATTTATTTTGTTATGTCTATTGAGCACAAAAAGTCCTAGATTTCTGTAGCAGTCTCACAGAGTTGGAGGCCCAGGCTTCTTTGCTGTCCCCAGATGTGCTTGTCCTGGTGAATGTCCATATTCAGCTAGCAGGAAGAGGAGGGCACTCCACTTGACTTCGAGTGGATGTTATTTGAAACAAAAGAAGCATCTATCCTTCCCCCTTATACTTCATTGTGTAGAAGTGGAACTCATGACCATGCCTAGCTGCAAGGGAGACTGGGAAGCAAAGACTTCAGTTGGGCCACTATATGCCTAGCTAGAAATGAAAGCTTCTGTTACTTTAGAAAATAGAATTGCCACTGGGATGTATGATGGGAGAGTCCGGGACCATGATACTATACACTGGAGGGTGGAGTGATGGCCTGCGGGGGAGAAGACAAGACCAACTTGGGGCTGGGACCATGGGGCCCAAAAGGGGGTAGACACAGAGAGAGGCTTGGTGTCCCCTTACTCTCAGCTGCTTGGGGAATGTAGATCCTCCTTTCTCCCCTCACTAGAATTGGCTCTTTCCTTCCTCTTCCAGAAGCCTGTCCCGGACTGCCCACAAGCCTCCCCGCCCAGTCCCGCCACATCTCCTGAGAACAGCCCTGCCCTCTCTGACAGCCCTCCCATGGACGTCTCCCCATCCGGGATCCCAAAGCGCCGCACAGGTGACAACACATGGCTCCTGCCCTTTCAGCTGCCTGTCTTTCTTCCCACTTGAATGGGCCATCCTTATGACAGCTCTGGTCTTAGTGTTGCGGTTAGGAGCATGAGTTCACCACACACCAGCTGTGTGACCTTTTCTGAGCTTAGATTGCTTTATCTACAAAATAGAGATGACAATAATTACAGTGCCTACCGCACAGGCACGTCAGAGATTAAAAGTTAACATGTGTAAGGTGCTCAGAACTGAGCCCAGCCCATCGTCAGTGCTCTGTAAATGGAGGTCACTGTGCTGGTGGTTATGTGCAGTGATGACGGCTACACAACTCGCAGTGGGAACACGAGGTGGGCCCATGGCTCAGGGAAGACTCCTAGAAGAGAAGTTAACCAAGCTGAGCCCTGAAGGACAAAGAAGAGACAGCAGGGAAGGAAGGAGGGAGGAGAGTTCTGGGCAAGGGGGAGGAGCATGCGTGGAGGAGCCCTGGGGGCCACCAGAGGCTTGGTGCGCTGGCATGGAGAGTATAGGATGGGACGACAGGAGACGAAGGTCCCGGAGTGCCAGCCTCAGCAACAGCACCTTTGTCCCAAGGGGGTTGGAGAGCTTGGTCTTGGGGAGGGACAGTGAGAGACCCACACATCACACAGGGTGAACAAGCTGTGCTGTCTGCTATTGCCCGCCGAGCCCTTGAAACGTGGTGAGTGCGACTGAACGGCTGCATCTTTAATGTTGTATCATCTGAATTAATTTACAGGCCAGGCATGGTGGCTCATGCCTGTAATCCCAGCACTGAGAGACAGAGGCTTGAGGATGGCTTGAGCCCACAAGTTCAAGACCAGTCTGGGCCACATAGTGAGACCTCATTTCTAAGAAAATTAAAAAATTAGGAAGGTTTAGTAGTGCACACCTATCGTCCCAGCTGCTTGGGAGGCTGAGGTGGGAGGATCACTTGAGGCAGGAGTTTGAGCCTGCAGTGATCCATGATCGTGCCACTGCACTCCAGCCTGGGTGACAGAGTGAGACCCCCAATTCTGTGATACTCGATACAGTTAGTGAAGGGCTTCCACTTTTTTCCCATTTTCCAATTATTTTTGGAACAACTTAGGTATATGATCTACTTCTTTAACTATAAAGTTTATAAAACCTAAACATAGATCAAGTATTGCTGATGAAAATTTTGTGTCCAAATTGTGATGTACAGTGAGTTCACTGGATTTTGAAGACTTAGCATGAAAAGGGAATGTTAATATCGAAAACATGTTAGAACCTTACTATTTTGGCTGTATTAAATAAAATGCATTATTAATGCTAAGTTCACCTGGGTTCCCCCTCTTATTCACATGGCTACTAGAAAGTTTAAGGTTATGTTTGTGGCTTCCGGAATCTTCCCACTGGATGGTAACACAAGGCACTCAGAAGTTGGCCAGCCCAGAGGAGGTGACGTCTGAGCTGAGTCCTAGAAGATAGATGGAGGTTGGCTGTGTTAAGAACGGGCAGGTGGAGGGTGTTTCAGACAAGAACAGCACATGCGAGAGACCTTGAGGTGGGAGCAGCACAGCTCTTCAGGGCATAGGAGCAGCCAACACTTGATGTGTTATTAGGCCACCTGCTGCAGTGGGCAGCTGGGGCTTAATTCTGTGGAATGCCCTGGGGAACAGTGTAAATGTGTGCCTCAGAGTTCCCCGCAAGGTGTGCAGTAGCTAGGGTATTTGTATGCCAATTCCCATCTGTCACTGGGTGAGGGCTTCTCTTGGGACCAGTTTATTCCCAGCACTTTCAGACTTCTGAGGTTCCAGAAAAACTATCCAGAACACACGGAGATAGTAAGATCTGAGGAATGCGGGTAGACATTGAGAGCACCTGCTAGTTGGGATCGTGCTCAGCACATTGTACCCTTGTTTATTTGTTGGGATGATTTCCATTCTGCAGATGTGGTAGAACAAGGCACAGAAAGATTATGTGACCTGCTCAATGTCACACAGCCAGGAAGCAGCAGGCCTAAAGGAAGAGGTCTGTGCTACTACGGCAGTGGCAGTGCCTAGGCAGAGAAGGGGAGATGGCCTAGAGCCTTCCTGGGGGTGCCATCGGCAAGTCCGAGCTCACTGGGGCGGAGCAGACGGCCAGTGGGGTCACCCACACCAAACCCTTTGCCTTCTCAGCTCGGAAGCAGCTCCCGAAACTGACACTTCAGGATGCCCAGGAAGAGCAGAGTGAGGATACAAACAGAGAAGCCAAGAGGAGGAAGAAGGAGGAAGAAGGTGAGGTACCAGCAGGAGAGAATGTAGATGTGTGTGGTAGGGGAATCTGAGCAGGGGCTTGAGAGCACAGAATGTTTGGACCCCACTGTTTTGATGTGTGACCAGGAAGCCATGTCAGTCGAATTTCCATGTACCAACACAGGAACTTTTGTTATGAAAGCATTTTAGAATACATGTGTTCGGCCATTCGGTTCAGTAATTTATACAGCTTCCCATTTTTATCTTCCATTTTTACATTTATTTAACGGAAAATATTTTCTTCTCAATAGTTTCCTTTTCCTTGTAAATTTCACCACCCTTTCTTGGTTCACAGCACACTTGGTGTCTTCATAATTTTTTGACGGTGCCCCTAGGCCAATACCTTAACAGTTCTGTTATTAAGTAGTTATATCCAAACAACTATTAGATTATGCATATATGTTGAAAGGAAAAATGATAATTGTATTTTGTTCTTAAATAACCACAATTACTTGCTAATGGGATGTGCCCTAGACACTGCAGGGTGTCTCAAATTGGAATTCAACTGAAAACTGCCACCCGCATTTCCTATCCCTCGTTGATGTTTGTACAGTATTTGATTTTTATAACAGCAACCTGTGAAAACCCAGCTTTGCAGAGATATGACATCATTGCAAGGAATGTGATCTAATACTGAAAATGAAAATACTTGAACTAGTAGTTCATACAGTGGCCAACAGATGTCACCACGTTTTCTCTGAAAATATAAAATACCCCGCAGTGGCCCTACAAGTTCCCTGCCTCTTGGTGTACCCACAGGAAACGACCAGAAAGATCTGATCCACTGATCCCTTGGGGCTTGTGTGAACGGCTACCAGTGGCAGCCTTGGCTGCTGTCAGGGTTTTTGTTTGTTTGCTTAATAAACGGTCCTCTTGGCAATGGGAAGCTGCCAGGGGAGGAGGGGTGCAAACCTCATCAACAAGGGTACCTACCCAATGAACATTTGTACACCTAATCCTGAATTGTACCTCACATCTTTAAAGTAAAAAATTTGAAAAAATAAAAGGTCCTCATTAGGCTCAGTTTTCCCAGGGCATGTTTGAATTTGGTTAATATTTGATTTCCTGTTGGCAATTTCTAGTCAGTAACAAATTTTACTGTAAATTGTATATTTGCAGCTATGGTCAGTTTCTGGTGGGGGTGGAGGTACCCTCTTTCTACTGAGGCAAATTTTTCCCAACTTAGTTTTTACAGTTTTTATTGTTAACCCTAGAAGTATGATGTTTTCAGTTTTGGTTTTTCTGTTTGTTTTTCTATACCAAACTATCATATGCGTTTTGACCCTTTTCAAATTCTGTCTTGGGATGAATAATTTTTATTTATTTATTCATTCATTCATTTATTTTGAATTCAGGTCTCTGTCACACAGGCTAGAGTGCAGTGGCACAATCATGTTTCACTGCAGCCTTGATCTCCTGGACTCATGCAATCTTCCTGCCTCAGCCTCCCCAGTAGCTGGGACTACCAATGTGTGTTACCACATATGTTACCATGTAGCCTTTTTTATTTTTTGTAGAGATATGAGGTCTTTGCTTTGTTACCCAGGTAGGTCTCGAACTCCTGGGTTTGAGCAATCTTCCCTTTTTGGCCTCCCAAAGTGCTGGGATTACAGGTGTGAGCCACTCTGCCAGGCTAAGGATGAATATTTTAAAGGAATAGTTTATGAGGAAAGATGACGGTTTGTATCTATTTCTCTGCTGCACAGGCGGGTATGGGGGTTGGAGGCCCACCAAGGTCCCCACCTTGCTCAGGTTGCCCAGGAGCAGGATCTTACACCTTCCCTCACTTTATAGACATACGTGGTTGGTCTAAGGATGAGCAAACTGGGCAGGATGTCTTCAGAGTCTAAAATATTGGGGGTTAAAATGATTGTTCCCCAACTAACTTTCCTGTCTGTTACCAGCAGCAGAGATCCCAAGAGAAAGCCTCATGGAGACTAAAGTGGCAACAAAGAAGGAAGCAGAAGGTGGGGACCAGCCCACAACGCCCCTCAAGCCCTTAAGGACTTCCAGTGAGTTTCTGGTTGTCTTCCTCCCCCCAGCCCATCTCCTGATTTGGGACACAGATGTCTTTGGAGGACAGTTGTCTTAAACAAGGCATAGATTCTCAAATGTACTGTTTAAATCCAAAATCTAGAAGACTTACAGGTTTTGTTACGGTTACTGGATTTTCATTTTGTTTTTGTTTTAAGTCAGAGTCTCACTGTCGCTCAGGCTGGAGTGCAGTAGCATGCTCACGGCTGCGGCAGCCTCAACCTGCTGGGTTCAGACCTTCTGCCTCAGCCTTCCAAGTAGTAGGCACACACCACCATGGCTGACTGATTTTTTTATTTATTGTAGAAATGAGGACTTGCCATATTGCTAAGGCTGACCTTGAACCCCTGAGCTCAGGCAGTCCTCTTGCCTCTGCCTCCCAAAGTACTGGGATTATAGGTGTGAGTTACTGTGCCGAGCTTGGTTACTGGACTTTTATTATTATTTTCCCTCATGCATGTGGGAAAGAAAAAAGAGCCAATCATTCTCCAACAAAGTATTTATAGCTTTCAGAAATCAAAGGTGCAAATTAAATGTTACTATTTGAGCCATGATTTGTTAAGTTAGACAACCAAGCCAGTCACGGGATTTTAGAGGTTAGTTCTCTCACAGGCCATAGAACAACCCCTGTAGTCCAGGTGTCCATGAAACCCTGTTGGAAACAACACTTACAGGAACAATTTTAGAGATGCAGAGTTGAACCTAGTTTTCTGCCACTGCAAGAGGAATAGGAATATCTACTAATTATCCTGAAATTTCTTTTGCCTCTCTTTATAAGTCTCCAGTTTCAGGCCAAATGTTAGATATTCCATCAGTTAGCACTGAGAACTAAACATCAGACCCAAAAGGTTTAAAACTTGCACTACAGAAAGGAAAAGGGCAGAATGGTTGTATTTTCCATCTATAAGGTCAGAATGACATTGGGTTAAAAAAAAAAAAAGTCACAGGGTTGAAACAGTCTGCATCCCCATCTGACTTCTCACTGTAGAGGCAGAGACCCTGAAGGAAAGCGTTTCAGAGCCCATGGTGGCCGTGAAGCAGGAACCCCAGGAGGAGGACCCCACAAAGGCTCCCCCTAGAGCACCCAAGATGCTCAGCAACTTCTTCAGTGAGTATCCCGGGGTGGGTGGGCAGGAAGCAGGAATCCCTCTGACCTCCCCTGTGGTTAGAGTCTGCTTTGTCTCCTCCGGCTTGCCACCATCTCCCTGAGCATTGGAGCAGTGTTGGTCAGAGAATGGATGGGAAGTGGGGATGATCAGAAAGAGAAAAAAACCCACTGTTTCCTGGCTTCATTCCCAGCTCCCCGGAAGCCATCAATCAAAAAAGAAGTGAAAATGGAGGAGCCCAAAAAAGAAGTGAAGGAGGAGGGGCCCAAAAAAGAGATGAAGGAGGAGAAACCCAAAAAAGAGGTGAAGGAGGAGGGCGAAGGTAACCCAGGAGAGGAGAGGACAGAAGGGTAAGTCTACTTCCAGGCCGGGAAGATGTCTTCTGGGCATGCTCCCTTGTCTGCATTCCCATGGCCCCTGACCCAGCTCAGTGTCCTCCTTGCAGGACTTGGCAAACCTTTTTCTGTAAAAGGCCAGGTAGTAAATATTTGAGGCTTTGCAGGACACACATGGCCCCTGTTACAAACCCATTCTTAGCTCCCAAGCCATGTGAGAACTGTCGAGGGGCAGAGTTTGCTAGCCTATCACCCCAACCAGTCCCCTACTCCTAGCCTCCTGTCTTCCATCCTCATTCTGTCCCTTATAGAGCCTGGGGAGATTTTTCTGATATCTGTAGTTGACCCTGTCCCTCAAATGGCTTTCAGAACATAATCTAAGCCCCTTTGGCCACTGGACCCCACCCACCTTTGGCCTCATTTCCTCCTTCTCTATTTCTGTGCACTGAACTCACCACATTTGAGTGTGCTTTGGAAGCCAGCAGGCACATTTGGCTATATTAAAAAGTACTGAACACCTCTTCTGGACATGGGGATGAACCATAAAGAGCTGCCCTGCCCTGGCATGCAGCATACTGGGGCCATGGGACACTGCATAGGTTGTTAAATAATTAATTGCTTCACTGTAATTGTGTTAATTCTTTGAAGAGATGTCTGGGCTGAGTCCCATGACACCTGATAGGTACACAGGAGGCCTAACTGAAGACTGCTTGCATGAACGATTAGATGGATGGGTGGATTAATAAATATCCTATAAAGTGATGAGATCATACTCTATCCCTGTTTTGCTCAGAACCCACCTAGGATTCCCCAGGATAAATGCTCCCTAGAGCCTCATGGGCTAGCCCTGCCCACGTCCCTGCAATTCTAGTCTCCTTGTTCCTGCAGACACCATTTCCTGGCATTCCTCCCTCCGTCTGAACCCGCCAGCCCCAGCCTACCCTGCCCAGCAGACTCCTGCTTTAATTGCACCTGCTTGGGAAGCCTGGTGCCTCTTCCTCCATCAGAGCTGGTGATATGTCCCTGGCACTTGAGTTAAACTTGCTTTTTATGTCCTGTCACATGGTAAAGTTCCTCCCCAGTCAGACTGCAAGCTTCTTCCTACAGGGCCAGAGCAGGGTTCGAGCCTTCTTGCCTGGATCCCAGCACAGGGCCTGGCCCATAGGAAGCCCAGGAGATGTATAGTGAAAGAAGGGATGTACTTGACCAGTTCTAGATTTTCTTTCTCATTAGCCAATTGTGGATTCATTTACCTATTCAATAAATACTTATTAAGGACTGGTTGTCAGGCAGTAGTTTTAGGTACTGGAGTTCCCAGCAGAGAACAATCAGACAAAAATCCTGCTTTTCAGAGCTTGTTTTCTCACCGGGGAAACAGCGTATAAGCAATAAATGAACCAAGTCAGTCACATGTCACATGGTGATAAGTGCTGTTGTGGAGAATAGAGCAAGGAAGGACAACAGGGACAGTGGGAGGGAAGAGGCTGCAGATTTCAACAGGGAGGTCAGGGAAGGCCTCATGAGATGGAGACAGCCAGGTAAAAGAGGAAGGAGCTGAGAAAGTGAGCCATGGGAAAGAATGCTTCAGGCCAGGAGCATAGCAAGTGGAAAGGCCCTGAGGAGAGGCTGCCTGTGGATATTTAAGGAGAATAATCGAAGGGGGAAGTAGCAAGAATGAAGTCAGAGGGCTGCTGACCAGCATACAGGAGGGCCTCGTGAGACTTTGTCAAAACATTGGTTTTTAAATCTGATTTAAGATGGGCTGTGGGAAGTCAGTGATATAATCTGATTTGTGCATTAATAGGATCCCTCTGGCTGCAGTGGTGAGAACAGACTGAATAGGTCAAAGGTAGAAGCGGACCAGAGAAGAGTTCATGGCAATAATCTCGGCAAGAGGTGGGGAGGTCATGAAAGGGGCTAGATTTTGGATCCTGTCTTAGCAGAGGATTTTCAGGAGATAGATGAGGAATGTGCGAGAAACAGCAGTTAAGGATGTCTCCGTGTGTTGAGGCCTGAGCTCCAAGGAGGATTCTATGATTAAAGTTAAATTATTCTAATAAAAAATGTTGGAGGGATTCTTCACATCACTTTGCACCCCAAGTTGAGGCCTTATTCAGGAGTTAAGTGGCACATCACCTTTATGTCTTCAGTAATCCTGTGGAGGAAGGGCGTGTTTTATCCATTTTATAGACATTTTAAGCAATTAGCCCAGAGAGGTTAGGGTAGCTTCCCCAGGTCACACAGGGAGGTGGGGGCGGGGCCAGGCCTGGGCCTGTGGCCCCCTGGTTCCTAAGCAGCTCTTTCTTCACCATGACTGCACTGTGCCTCCTGGTTACATCTGTGCTGATGTATCTTTAAATATATTTTTCTAATAAAGTGGGTGCCCTACTGTATGTAAAGTTTTATGTCCCATTGTTTTCTATTTCAGGTGATACTATGACCATTTTTCTTGCACTGTTGCTAGCATGGTCCCTTGTCCTCCATTTCTGATGGCTGCCCCTAGAAGATAAATGAACCTTCAGAACTCCAGTTTCCTCCCTTTCCAAATTGGGCTGTCCTGACGACACCCTTTCATGCACTCTTAGACTCGGCCACGTGCCTTACGTATTCTGATGTATTGAACCCTCACAACACGGCTGTGAGTCAGTGCTGTTGTTGGCCCCATTCCGCAGATGAGGAGAGTGAAGCATGAACTGCCACACAAGGGACGCCAGAAGAGCCCCCACCCTGCCCAGACCATAGACACATGAAGCAGTTCCGAGGAGTGACTAGGAATCCCAGCTCCACCTTTCACCAGCTGTGTGACTGACCCTGTGACCCTGGGGAAGTGACTAAGCCCTTCTGTGCCTCTTTCCCCCCTGAGGATTTGAAACATTTAGACCAGGGTCTGGCCATGACTGTACTTGGCACGTTGTAACTGCTCCTATTATTATTAGTTTTTAGTGCCTTGCTCAGGCCGCATAAGTGCCGAGTGGCAGAGCTGTGATTTGAACCAGGCTGCCTGGCTCTGGAGCCTCTCATTCCAACTGCCCTGCTCCCTCATGATGGCAGCCACCATGGAGTAAGTGCTGAGCCCACACTGAGGCCTGCACAGCCCTGCAGTTGCCCAGCTGTCTCAGCCGTCCCTGCCCTGTGTGTGGGAACCCTCACTGTCATTTCTTATTGAACCCTCAGAACAAGCTGCAGTTGGGACTCTAGCACCACCATGCTGGTGGAGGTTCAGAGAGAGGAAGCTGCTCCCTTGGAATGCACAGCTGGCCAGTGGCAGAGCAGAGATTTGAACCCAGAGGCGTCTGACTACAGAGTCAGAGCTGGGGTGACTGACAGTGTCGGTGTGAAGCACTTTCGATATAGGGGATGGGAACAGTCTTTAGAGCTATAGGCTCTGTAGCTGGGGGTGAGTTATTTAACTACTCTGTGCCCCAGTTTCCTTATCTGGAAAAGTAAGTTAGAAGGGTCCCTCTTGCTAGGCTGACTGTTAATAGATGTAGTGTTCTTAGCACAGTGCCTGGCACACTATGACACCCAGGAATTGTACACTCCTCGCTCTGTTCCACCCCAGCCCCCAGCCACACTGAGCCCTTTGTTCCTCAAGCATGTCGAGCTTGTCTCCACTTCAGGGCCTTTGCACTCACAGTTCCTTCTGCCTGGAATGCTCTTCCCCTGATACCCACTCTGCTCACCTCATTCTGCCCAGATGTCTCAGGCCTTTCCTGTTCACCCTGAAATTCTCCCATCCTACCTAAAATTCTTTATTTGTTTGTTTACTTACTTCTTTCTGACTCCAGTTGGGATTTAAGGTCCAGGTTAGCAAGCTGTTTTTATTCGTGGCTTTCCTATGCCTTGAACAGGGTCTGGCCCCTACTAGCTGGAGGACTTGCTTCTGTTTGACCCAGGGATCTACGCTACTTAATCTCCCCCTTGCCTCCACAGACGCCTGGACCCATCCACCTACAATCCTGCCAAGAACAACTACCATCCTGTCAAAGATGCCTGCTGGAAACCGGGCCAGAAGTGAGACTTTCTCCTTCCTAGACTGTCCTCCTACAGTCCCTGTCACAGTGGGGAACTCTCTAACCAGAACCTCAGCTGAGGGAAATGGTGAAGTCTCTCCCTCCTGTGTTTTGGGGACAGCCAGCACCATTGCAAGGACAAAGAGACAGCCCTGGGCAGTGAGGGGGCTGCCCTCTTGCATTTGGGTATTGGCAGTCTGTCCCAGGGAGGTGTGAGGAAGCAGGGTGGACAGGAGGACAGTGCAGGCTACGTACAGGACTCTGCATCTCTTTTCTTTCCTAGGGTTCCTTTCCTGGCCGTGGCCCGGACATTTGAGAAGATCGAAGAGGTTTCTGCTCGGTAACTAATCAGGCCTGCCTGGGCAGGGTGGGGGCTCTTCTGGCGTCCCTTGTGTGGCAGTCGATCCTGCCTAATCCTTTCAACCTGACCTTTTCCCCTGCTCAGGCACACAATCACAGACCATAGACACAGGCACAAGAGTAGCTGCAAATCCTCTTGGCTTTCTGCCTCATTCTCCTCAAAGCAAGACATAAGGAGTCCAGAGTCTGAGGGTAGGGAAACAGCTCCACACAGGATGGCCAAAACTGCAGAGTTTGTGATCCTTTTTCATCGGCCCTAAGTCATCAAAAGTGGCTTCCATCTTGCTTGCATGTCTCCATGTTAGTGAAGGCAAGTTAGGACTTGGTTACAGCAAGGACCTTCTTTCTTGCAGAGGTTCCCCGTGGAGCCCCCCACTGCAGTGGAGCTCTGGCACTTTGGCTTTTCTGTGCTTTTCATGACCCCGACACTTCTGAAGGACCTGGTGATTTTGTGGAACATCTCAGTTTGGGTTTGTCCAGAGTTTCCTCAGCATTAGTGTCAGGGGATGTGTCTTCTGTGAAGAAGACCATGGGAGTAGCATTTTCACTGTGTCCCATCGGAGCACATGATGTCACTCGCCAAGCTGAGGATGAGTTACATTTACTGGTCTTCCCTTTGCAGGTGGTAGACATCTTGTGGAGATTGCCTTTGAGACAGTGCAAGGATCCTATTGCTCTTCAAGCCTCTGCCCACCAAGCTTGGCATATGGATTCATGTCCTGGGGCCATTGAAACAAATTAACACAAACTTGGTAGCTTAAAGCAATAGGAATTTATTCTCTCAGGTCAGGAGGCCAGAAATCAAGTGTCGGTGGGGCTAGTTCCCTCTGAGGCTCTGAGGGAGATGCTGACCTATGCCTCTCTTCCAATGGCTGCCAGCCACCCTTGGAATTTCTTGGCTTGGAGACATGCCGCTCCAGTTTCTGTCCCATCTCTGCATCACTGCCTTCTCTGTGTTTCTGTGTGTCCTCGTCTGTATTGTGTAAGGATGCACACTGGATTCAGGACCACCCTCACCCACTATGATCTCATCTCAATCCTTAATTACATCTGCAAAGACCCTGTTTCCACACAAGGGCATGTTCCAAGGCTCTGAGTGGGATGAACTTGGCTGCTGTTCCGCCTGCTACAGCGTCCAGTGGTGCATTTTGCCTGCAATGGTTATTACTGTGGTGTTTGCCTAATGGTGATTTTGTGTTTCTCTTATTCCTTCTACTTTTTAAAAATTTGTTAATGAGACTTCTTTAAGAAAAAAGGCTTCTTTCTTTAATTAGGCCCTCTAAGTTTGCCCATATAATAATAAACCCCTATTTCCAGATTTGATGATGCAGACAGACACACAATTTTATTTTTAGAGGCAGCACAGCTTAGTGACCGGGAGCATGGTTCTCAAGCAGGTACTTTGGTTCACATCTTGGCTTGATACTGACTAGCTCTAAGGCCTCTGTGCCTCCATTTCTTCATCTGTAAAATGGGAATAATAATAACAGTAACTATCTCAGAGGGGAGCTGAGGGGATGCAGAGTGCTTACAGCCAGCACCTGCGCGTAAAATACATCTCCTCCACATTAGCTGTTGTTTCTCTGGGATGAGCGTCGCCATCTTCATCGTCATTACTGTCATACCGAGTCACTCACCAGCAGCCTATGACTGTCTGTGGCCCCAGGTCACATGCCTGGGGCCTTTCCTCTTCTTCCCCGGCTTCCTTTCGGTACCCCCCAGGCCCCCCATCTTTGACCTTGAGGAACCTGCTGGTCACACCCTGTCCCCTCCTCCAGGCTCCGGATGGTGGAGACACTGAGCAACTTGCTGCGTTCCGTGGTGGCCCTGTCACCCCCGGACCTCCTCCCTGTCCTTTACCTCAGCCTCAACCGCCTTGGGCCGCCCCAGCAGGGCCTGGAGCTTGGCGTGGGTGACGGCGTCCTGCTCAAGGCATTGGCCCAGGCCACAGGTAAGCAGGGCCTGTGGTGGAGGGACCAGTAGGAGGGGAGCTTAGTGGGAGAGAGTGGGGGACGTTGGAGGATCTGAGAGATGGTGGAGGGAGACTCCCAAGGTGGAACGAGGAGGAGCCCGAGAGGGCAGAGAACCTGATGGGAATAGGCTTGCAGGGTATAGTGGCTCAGGTGAGGGAGGACCAGGCCTGTGTTGGGTCAAGCACCATGGATGAGAGAGGAGGGCAGGGGCTGGGGAATGATGCTACAGGCTGCCACAGCAGGATTGGGAGCTGGGATTGAGGGTCGGGCTTGGGGAGGTAGCAGAAGCCCAAGCTGGAGGACCTGGAGGGGCCAAGGGGAGGAAGATAGAACAGGGTATGTGCACAGGGAGTGGCCTGCAGAGGCACCCAGCTGCCAGCACGGGGTGGAGAGGCTGGCAATGTGGACAGCCTGCTGCCAAGGACCTGGAGTGCCCGGTGCTTATCACTAGGCTCGGGGAGCCATAAAAGAATTGTAGCAGACAGGAGGCAGGGTCAGCTCTGGGCCCATGTGGAGGAGGCTGGGAGCAACAGTCCAGGGAAAGAAGAGCTGGATCCAGTCTGAAGGGAGCAGAGGAGAGAGCAGGAGCAGAGAGAGATGGTGCCAAAGGAACCTGCCACAGGAGCAAGTGGGAGGTGGCTGGGGTAGAGGAGGTGAAGAGAAGCCCCGGGGATCTCCCTGGGGACTGGATGGGTGATAGAGCTAGCACCAGCACAGGACTCGCGGGGGTCAGGGGAGCTAACCACTCCAGTGTGGGATCGGGCATGAGCAACCGCCATCTAAGGGCCCTCCAAGGCCATCCAAGACGTGGGGAAATAGATGGGTCTGAAATTCAACAGATCTAGGTCAGACACCAGGGTTTAGGGTTGTCAGCTTAGGAGGGATGCTGGAGAACTGACCATTTCTCATATTTGCTGGGGAGGATACTGGGGTGAGGGAGAGGACCCTCCTTAACGAAGTGGGTTTCCAGGATTTCATGAGAACACCAAGGGACTAAGGACGATTGACTAGGGGCTAGGAAACAGTGATGAGGCCGTGGGGGCCAAAGGAGGTGAGACTTAGGATTCTCACTCATTCACTCACGATGTATTCACTGAGCACCAACATCATGCCAGACCCAGTGCAAACAGTGTTAGGAATATGCTGATCTATAAGGAATGGAAAACCCAACTACACTGGCTTAAGCCAAGAGGGATTTACGTTTGTCACAAAAGAAGAAATTGCCAGTGTCAGTTTCCCTGCCCAGCACTGCTATCACGGCTACGACCTTTTCTGCTCTTTTGTGCTTCCCTCTTAGCCTGGGATTGTGCGCACTCACACTCGGCCCCTCGTGGCCCCTGTGGCTGCCCCCACCCCAGGTTGTTGTGAGTTGTTGGAAATCCTTTCCCCTTTGAAACGCCTGTCGATAGTCACACACAGTGAATGTTCACACTGATGGCCGCCCCTTTCATGCTGAAAATGTTTCACTGCGTTTTCTTGGGTCTTCTGGGCAGTGACCAAGCGCCTATAGACTGGAATGCATGCTTTTCTTTCTTTTCTTTTTTTTTTCTTTATTTTCCCTTATCATTTCTACTAGGATGTGCTTTTCATTACAGACTCTTTTCCCTGTATCTCTTCCATGTTAGAGTTAGGGCATTATCTTGATACGCATCAGTAGGTTGTATTATCTCTGCATTTCATGTCAGAATAGAAAAGAGGTGACAACGTGTCACCAGATAGGCTGAGAGCCACTGTTTCCAGTTGTCATCTTGACTTGAGTCTCCACCATCCCAGTTCCTGCTCTTACACTCAGGGGACCTACCTCTGGACAACAAATAAGGCCAAATCACATGCCATATATGTAAATTGGTGCCTTCAAAAAGATAAGCCAAAGGGTCACCAGTCACTCCAGAGATGTCAGTGGCCAACTAGAAGAGACCAACTTGGCCTCCTCTGCCCTGTCTACCCTCACTTCCCTGGTAATCTCAGCCCATTTGTGGCTTTAAATCCCATCTACACCGTGATGACACCAGCCCAGGTATCACCCTGAGTGTGGGCATGTTTGTTGACTGCTTCCTCTACCCAGGTAACTGGAGACATAGTCACTCAGCCCTCTCTATCAAGTGGTGAGCATTAGGACAGAAAGGGCTGGGACTTGGTACAAGCACACACAGCCGGAAAAGATTCATCCAGGCCTGGCGACGGGAGATGGGCAGCCACATTCACCACCCTCACCACCTCACCTGCTTTCTCCCACCAAGGTCGGCAGCTGGAGTCCGTCCGTGCTGAGGTGGCCGAGAAGGGCGACATAGGGCTGGTGGCCGAGAATAGCCGCAGCACCCAGAGGCTCATGCTGCCGCCGCCTCCACTCACCACCTCTGGGCTCTTCACCAAGTTTTGTGACATTGCCAGGCTCACCGGCAGTGCTGTAAGTGGGGCGGGGTGGCTCACCACACCCCAGATGTCTCAGGGACCCATGTGTGTGGCAGGCCGCTTCTGATGACACTGTCAGGGCTGAGTCTCTTCAGTGCTGCTCGGGGCACAGTGCTTCCTTCTTACTACCTGCACTCAGGACTAGGGGGCTCTCCTCTGGGGGTTTTATCACCAAGTGCCGTGATGCCACATGATAGGACACGGATATTTCCTGGGTAGAGGCTGGAGGGAGACAAGGAGAGCAGGCTTGTTTCTATTGCCCAGCGTGCAGGAGGCCATGGAGCTGGGCATGGGATGGGGTGGGAGCAGGGGGTGGCTGGTGGGTCGGAGGCTGGTCCCTGCCTTCTCCAGGCACTGATGGCCCTTCCCCTGTTCTAGTCCATGGCCAAGAAGATAGACATCATCAAAGGTCTGTTTGTTGCCTGCCGCCACTCAGAAGCCCGATTCATTACCAGGTAAGTGTGTGGCCTAGGAGGTTGGGGAGAGGGGGCTGCAGGCATGGAGGGGAAAAAAGGGAGGGTCTGGCAGCCAGAATCACCACGAATGTCCAGACAGCCCTGGGATGAGGAGCATGAGCAAGAAGCCTGTACCCTAAGGGGTGGGAAGGCAACGTAGTTTCCTTTCACAGTCGGCTCCTTCCCTTGATGGTGTTGCCCAGGGAAGGGTCCTCGGCTCGTGGGTAAAACGTGTGGTGGCTGACAGTGGTATCTGCCTCAGCCTAAGGACAGGGCTGCAGCACAAAGCCCCTGTCTGCCCTGACCGTGGAAGCAAATCAACAGCTCAGGTCAGGCAGCATGTCTTGGGTGTCTTGCCCTGCGCCAAGTGCTTTATCTTGTTAACTCCTCCCAGCAACCCTGCGAGGTAGGCCCTGTTATCCTCATCCCAGTTTACAGAAGGGGACATGGAGGCACAGGGAGGTAAGCCACATGCTGCTGCTGCCGACTGAAAGCGAGGACTGTTGGGGTCAGGTCTTGTCCATCATGCTCACTGGTGCGGGCCCCAGGTCCAGTTCTGTCCCCAACGTGCCCCCCCGAGCTTCAACCCCTCCCAGGCAGCTGAGCTGAGCGATGAGGACTCCTATGAGGCACCTGCTTCTACCCCCAAGTAAATGCCAGTGGTCATGCTCAATACTGTGTGTCCTGAGTTCCAGACAGGGCTGCACGTGCAGAAGGGCCGAAGAGACCCAGAGAGGGGCTGGGGACTGTGTGGTTTCCTGGATCCCTTCCAGCTCCTGAAAATTTTTCTGGTTTTTGAGAAGAAGGTCTGCAAGCATTCAGGTGTGGGAGACCGGGGAGGCAGGAGGCAAGGTTGGGAAGGTAGAAACAAGCCCTCTTCTCTGGCTTGCTCTCTTCCCAGGTCCCTAAGTGGACGGCTGCGCCTTGGACTGGCGGAGCAGTCAGTGTTGGCTGCCCTCTCCCAGGCTGTGAGCCTCACGCCCCCAGGACAAGGTGAGCTCCTCGGGCCCTGTTTTGCGCCCTCGCTGGGGTTCACGTAGGTTCCCTTCTCCTCTTCAGAAGCCCATGGCCCACCTTCCCCGCACGTCTCCTGCCCTCCAGGCTCCTCTCCCTAAGGAGAGCATTGTGGGCAGCCACATCTTCATTCCCTGCCTCATGGCATGCAGCCCACTGTGGGCCCTGGGGCAGCCGAGGGGTGGGGTGCATCCCAAAGCCTCTGGTGGGTCTTTTCTCAGAATTCCCCCCAGCCGTGGTGGATGCTGGGAAGGGCAAGACAGCAGAGGCCAGAAAGAGCTGGCTAGAGGAGCAAGGCATGATTCTGAAGCAGACGTTCTGGTGAGACCGGGCTGTGGGCAGAGTGCCAGGGCGGGCCAGAGCCAGAGGGGCAGTGGGCGGGCATGAGGGGAGTGTGAGGGCCAGTGACTGACGTGCGCTGGTGACAGTCACAGGGCTGGGGTCTGAGAGCAGGGGCTGGTGATCTAGACAGGATCAGTGCTGGGCACAAGGATAGTGACAACAATCAGGAAGGTGGCAGACAGTGAAGTGTCATGACCCACAGAGACAGTGAGTAAGGTCAAGAGGTTTTCGAGTTCCAGACAGGGCTGCACATGCAAAAGGGCCAAAGAGACCCAGAGAGGAGCTGGTGACACATATAGCAAGGGGTCATGATAGTCGCAGGGAGGACACCCCGTGGAGTGGTGGCAGGAGCTCCAGAGAGCCATGTGGAGGAACTTTGGCCAACAACCTGTGCTGGGCTGGTGACAGCCAGATGGTAACAGCCCCAGAGACAGTGTCAGAGGCAGGAGAGCCAGTGAGTAGCTCTACAGATGCCCCCAGAACACCCACGCACTACTAGGTGCCCCTCTCAGGCATGCAGTGAACTAGCCCTGGAAGAGCTGCCAGGCCAGGGCATTGGCTCAACTCTGCCTTCACGTGGGGCTTGACCAGCTGTTGACCTCCAGCCCACCCTAGACAATGAAATCAGAATCTTCTAGGTGGAGCTTGGCTTGAAACCCCTTTTTAAAAAACCCATCCTGGAGTGGTCTCACATGTAGTTGGAGGAGAGAATCACTGGCCTTGTGGTGACCAATAGGGGGCAATGGCAGGCCCAGACTAAGTGAGACAGGGTAATGGACAGTGACACTGAGGGAGAGCACAGGGACAGGGTGGCAGAAGAGTCAGGGACATGGTGGCAGAGACAGGCCGAGGCATTCAGGAGCCCAGGCTTCTGGGCACAGACCGAGGTATCTTTCCAAGCTGTGTGAGTCCTAGAAAGACTCCCCCTATCTTGTTCTCACCTCCCACCCCAGTGAGGTGCCCGACCTGAACCGAATTATCCCCGTACTACTGGAGCATGGCTTGGAACACCTCCCGGAGCACTGCAGGCTGAGCCCAGGTACGGTCCCCACAAGCCTTCACACGACTGACTGCAGCCCCTCCCCTGCTGAGTTGGTGTGAGGGTGCCACCCACCACAAGGCATCCCTCTAAGACCCTGCAAAGTCTTCTTCTCTCCCCACCAAAATTGAATCCTTTTCCCTGGGTACAGGCAAAGCTACTCTAATAAAGATATGCCAGAGCTGGGCATGGCAGCACGCATCTGTAATCCCAGCCACTCAGGAGGCTGAGAAAGGAGGATTACTTGAGTCTAGGAGTCCGAGACCAGTCTGGGCAACATAGTGAGATCCCATCTCTAAAAAATAAATAAAATAAAGATATGCCAGAAGGCAATGGGTCAAGCCAGATAGAATTTCTTTCTCTCACACATAAGTAAGACAGGTGGCCAGGGAGGAGACGGGTAGGGTGCACCAGAAATGACCCAGGGACCCAGGTTGCTTCTGTCTTGTCATGCTGCCCTCCAGAGTTGTCACCCCAATGTATGTGATCTGAGGTGACTTGCATCCCTGTTCTTGGCTGTGGGAAGAGGCAGCCAAATTCCTTGCAAGGATGTGACCAGACATTGCACCTTCTGCATTCATTCCTGTCACACAGCCTTTCCCCAGCGACAAGGGCAATGGGAGCTGTCATCTCAGGTGGGAGACCCAGTGCCCTTCTAAGACTTGGGAGGGCTCGTTCTCCAAGAAATGGCAAGAAAGCAGAGTGGGTCCACGTTAGTCTCCGCTGCATTCCCCCTAATTCATTGCCTCTTCTCTGCCCCAGTCTGCCTACCTAACTCTCTCTCTCCTCCCCTCCCAGGGATCCCCCTGAAACCAATGTTGGCCCATCCCACCCGTGAGGTCAGCGAGGTCCTGAAACGCTTCGACGAGGCAGCTTTCACCTGCGAATACAAATACGATGGGCAGAGGGCACAGGTATGAGGCATGGGATGCCCCTCCCACAGGCAGGGAAATACCTAGAAAGCATGACCGTGGGGTTGGACAGGCCTGAGCTCAAAACTGGCCTCTGCCACCACACACTTCCCGGCTGCCTTGCTTATCTCTGGGGTTTTGCTTCCATTCCATGCAATGGGTGCAGTAATAACTACCTCATGGACTCTTCTGAAGTAAAATCCCCAAAAGCCCCGACTTCCAGTAGTGACAGCTCAAGAAACTGGCTCTGCTCATACCTTGCTAGTGGATGTGTTAATTAGAACAGCCATTCTGGGCGACGCCTGTGTGCCCTTAGTGCAGTGACGTGCATGTGTCCTGCATCCCAGGGCCACAAGCATCCTCACTCCTGGGATCTGTACGGATGCTTATTGTAGCTTTTGTCCTGGAGGGCAGTTTTCCCGGTATTCATCGCTTGGGGATGGATACGCGAGCAGCGTGGGTGGGCATCTGCAGGACTTGAAGGCAGTGCCAAGTAATGAATTCGATGGACACTTAGCTTTACAGGGGGGCTGCAAAATAGAGTGTTGAGAAAACAGTAAAAAACTAGATGATTGATGCTAGTCACCATGGTTGTTTGTACACACACAAGTAAAAATAATGACATATATCTATGACATCTATGTAGCCCTGCTCAAGGACTGTGATCAGACTATATTAAGATATATATAAATAGTAGAAGCCAGAATGAGATCTACAGGATAGCATTTAGACAAATCAGCATATACACACAGCAAGATATATGTGCTCATGGGTCAGGCATGATGACTAACGCCTGTAATCCCAGCACTTTGGGAGACTGAGGCGAGAGGATCACTTGAGCCTAGGAGTTTGAGACTAGCTTGGGTAACATAGCAAGACCTCGTCTCTACAAAAAATAAAAAAATAATAACCAGGCATGGTGGCACATACCTGTAGTTTCAGCTCCTTGGGAGGCTGAGGCAGGAGAATCTCTTAAGCCCAGGAGTGGGAGGCTGTGCGGGATGAACTCAGCTGATTTCCTCTCCCTTCCTTCACTCTGGCAGATCCATGTTCTGGAAGGCGGGGAGGTGAAGATCTTCAGCAGGAATCAGGAAGACAATACTGGGAAGTACCCAGACATCATCAGCCGCATCCCCAAGGTGGGTGTCTGCCATGCAATTTCACTCTGGTGCAAGGTACAGAGAACGGAGGCCCATCCAGGCCAGCTGAGCACAGTGGAGGGTTATCAGAAGGAGACTGAATTGCATTTGGCTACAGATGACAGAGTGCTCACTTGAGCATGGCCTGACAGGTGTTATTTTTTCTCAAGGAAATCAAGGTGGGCAGTCCAGCACTGGCTCAGCTGAGCCAGCTCATTGCCACCTCTGTCCTCTATGTCCTTGACAAGCTGGCTTTTCACTCCAATGTTTGTCCTCTTATCATTTCCCAGATAGATGTCACACTTCTAGATGGAAAGACGCAAAAGAGATTCTGGTTTTTGTCCCCTCCCATGAAGGGAGTTAACACTTTCTCAGGTACCTCCCACCATCCCTGCTGACTCCAGCTGGGAGCCACACTTGCAGTACTTGGCCCCATGGCCACACTAGGATGGTGGAGGCTGGGAAAACCGGATTCTAAGGGAGTTGGGACGTGTGTGAAGGAAGCCGGCCTGCAAATGGACCCCATGCCTCAGAGCCAGGCCCAGAGCTGGGGGCTTCTCTATGCCCCACTGGGGTCTCGGGCCTGTTTGAGAAGTCCTCCATCAAAGAGCCCTTCTCCCTGCTGCCCCTCATTAATTAGGAAATTGATTTGTTCAGAGAGCAGGGAGCACAGTGCTGAGAATTCCCGTTAGAGACATCGCAAGAGTGGCGGCACAACGTGTGCATTCATGAAGCTCCTATTAAGTGCCAAGCACTAATTTTTTAAATCGATTTTATTAAGATGTAATTTTTGTAAGTTTCTGATTTTAAGTGTACACTGTACCATCTGATGCATTTTGACAAACTTAGACACCCATGTAACCAGCATATAAAACATCACCATATTCTCACCACCCTAAAATGTTTCCAGTACCCCCTGGCCAGGCAAGCCCCATCCTCTGCTCCCACCATCCTCCCGCCAGAGGCAACCCCGGTCGGCGTTTTGGTCATCCCAGGTTCTCTTGGCCTGTTCTAGAGCTTCCTGTGAGTGAGATCAGCAGTGCATAGTCTTTTGTCTCTGACTTCCTTCGTCATTCATTCCACAGGTGTTCATGGGGCGTCTGCTCTGAGCACAGCCCTGTGCGCCTATGCTGAGGCTAGGAACAAAAGGTGGGCCTGTGTGCTCCCCGCCCTCACCAAGCTCACAGGGCAGGCAGATCTTCATCAGAGTCCTGCAGTTGACTCTATACTTACTTGTGGAGATCAGGGCCCTAAAGAAAGGAACAATCTTCTACAAGCCCATATGAGAAACAGACCTGACTTAGACCTAGTATCAAGGAAGCCGCATGGCTCCAGGGCACAGCATGAATGGTGCCTCATGGGTTTGTGCAGTACAATGGAAAAGAGGCATCCCAGTAAAGGAGAGGAATGGGGCAGACATTCTAAAAGGAACAGCATGTACAAAGGGCTGGTGGTGAGAGAAACATTGCCCATTTGAGAATTGGAGAGCCTCATGTGCTAGGGTGAATAGAGCAGGGCTAAGGCGGCCCCCTGAGGCAAGGGAGGGACAGGGCTGCCGAGGACAGCCCCACAGCTCTGGGGAGTCATGACATGGTTTTAGCAGAAATAGGCCATGATCAGATGTGCCAAGATCACCCTGGCTGCTGTGAGGAAAGTGGGCTGGAGGGGTCAGTGCAGGAGGGGAGGCCACCAGGAGGATGTGATTAGATGGCTGGGCGCAGTGAGGAGGTGAGAAGGGGAAGTCAGCAATCCCCAGGAAATCAAATGCGGATGAGAAGAGGAGGGAGATGACAGACAACTGGGCTTCCAGCTTGTGGGGCCACATAGCAAGTTCTCAGAAAAGCTGGTTTCTTTCTCCTCTCAGAGGGGATCAGAGAAGAGGACCTGTGCTCATGTGTCTCTTTAGTAGTAGATCTTGAGAGCTGCAGAGGGAGAAGGGAGCTTGTTTCTTGTATCTGTCTTTTGACTTCATCCTCTACATCTCCCGAGCCTTGGCTCTTTCCCTTCGCTTTTCAGATTAAACTCCCATCAGTCACATCCTTCATCCTGGACACCGAAGCCGTGGCCTGGAACCGAGAAAAGAAGCAGATCCAGCCGTTCCAAGTGCTGACCACCCGCAAACGCAAGGTAGTGTGAGCCCCCTCCACCGCCTATCACGACCCGTATTCCCTCTTCTTCCTCCCAGTCCTGGCCATGGGTCCTGCTTGGTCCTCAGGAGGGCAGTATTGGTCTGCGTGTAGTTCTCTCAGCCTTTTGCAAAGTGGCTCTACAGCCCCAATCGCCATGTTCTCATCCCATCATCCCAAGTAAGAAGCAGGGAAAGGCCCTTTCCCTGTATCCCTTGTTTTATTATAAAAGGAGATCTGTTCTGGGAACCCCCACAACCTGCACCCCAACAGACTCCCCCTTTACATCTCTTTTGGCCAGAACTGTGTTATGTCATCTCCATTAGCTGCAAAGGAGGCTGGGAGAACAAATGTCTGGTGAAGGGAAATGAGGTTGTTGGAATTAGCTGAGAGCCATTATGACTCAGCACCTGGAGCTGCAGCATTGCCACCCTCGTGCCAGTATTACCTGGGAAGTGTGGCCTGTTACCTGGGGAGAGGGGACAGTGATAAGTGACTGTGCTGTCTGCCTCAGACACAATGGAGGGGACCCACCTGGTCCCATCTCACCTTCCCCAACTCCTGGTCTCATTTTGCCCCCACCCAGGAGGTGGATGCGTCGGAGATCCAGGTGCAGGTGTGTTTGTACGCCTTCGACCTCATCTACCTCAATGGAGAGGTGAGTTCCAGTTTCATGTCCAGGGGCGGCCAAGGGATGATGAGTGGTATGTGAGCCTGGGAACCAGCAACCTGACTTTCCTTTCTGACTCTGCCATGTCATTGAGCTGGGAGGCCACACTTGGGCAGTGGTTCTCAGAATGTTGTCCGAGGACCCCTGTGGGTCCCCAAGACCCTCTGAAGGGCATCTGCAAGGCCCTCCATTTCCCAACTCCACATCTGGGGGAGGTGGCCTTTTTTCTTGTACTGCAGCCAGAACAACACATCTCAGCTGCCTGAATGCAGAAGCCTGTGCTAAGCCAGATATTAAGAAATTTGCAAAAATGTAAAATAACGCCTCTGTTCTCACTAATTTTTTAAAGTATAGCTGTGTTTCATGAAAATGTGTTACTTGTATGGTGGCGCATGCCTGTAATCCCAGCTACTCAGGAGGCTGAGGTGGGAGGGTCGCTTGGGCCTAGGAGTTCTGGGCTGTGGTATGCTATGCCCACTGGGGTCAGCACCAGTAAGTGACCTCCTAGGAGCAGGGAGCACCAGGTGGCCTAAGGAGGATGAACCAGCTCACGGCAGAGAAAATGTTTTTGGGTTTGCATGTTGAGTTTTTTATTATTATTATTATTATTAATTATTATTATTATTGAGTTGGAGTCTCACTCCATCGCCCAGGCTGGAGTGCAGTGGCACACTCACAGCCACCTGAGCATTGGCCTGCTAGGCTCCGGCGATCCTTCCACCTCAGCCTTCCAAGTCACTGGAACTACAGGCATGCTACCACACTCGGCTATTTTTTTGTTGTTGTTGATATATTGTAATTGCGAGGTCTCACCAAGTTGCCCAGACTGGTCTCAAAACCACAGACTCAGGCAGTCCACTCACCTTGACCTCCCAAAGTGCTGGGATTACAGGTTGAGCCACTGAGCCCGGCCCATTATTATTTTTAAATGAATTACTACATATTTTTGAAACTTCTAATATTATATAAATATCATATTATGTAACCTACATTTATATCATATGATATAAATATCATATTATGTAACCCACATAAGCAGAAACTCTTTAGAGTAGTCTCAGTCATTTTTAACTGTGTAAATTTTACAAGTTTGGCTCCAAGACTGAAAATTTGAGAACCACTTCTTTAGGGTATAGGTTAAGAATCTGGAGTCAGGCCACCTGCTGTCATCTCCCAGCTCTCCCTTCCTCGCTGTGTGACTGCAGATGAGTGGCTCACCCTCTCTGTATTGCCATTTCCTTATTTCAGTAAAGAGCTAACAGCAGTACCCGCTCTGTTAGGGTGAGGACTAAAGGGTGGGATATGGACTTGGAAGCTCTCGAAAATCAGGGACAGTTGTTATCATCCCAGATGACCTCTGACAGTCTGGTAGATGAACAGTGATCTGGTGACAGCTTTGGTAACTCACACTTCTTAACAGAGTAGAGCTTTTCAGATCTGTTGGCCACGTGCGTTTGTCCTGGGACATGCCCCCTTGTGTCTTTGCTCACTTGTCTGATGGGTTCTTACCCATGTCCTGCTGGTCTGAAACAATTCCTTCCCCATTAGGCCAATGAGTCCTTCACCAGGACAGATGGACCTGCTGGTGATTCTAATCTGAAATGCCCTTGGTGCCTAAACCCCTACCTTTGGGTACAGACTGACATGTTAGAGCATAAGACGACCATAGGAAGGCCCACAGAACTCGGATTTTGTTTCCCATGATGTGGGGGAGAGGGGAATATTGGACACCAGGTGCTTTCCAAATACCAGATGCTCTGTGTTTTTTCTGCATGATTTGATCATTTCTGCTCTGCTAGTTTGTTTGTCTCTCATGATCATTTCAAATAGCCCTTCTTATTTGATGTTTACCTTTATTTATTTATTTTGAGTTGGAGTCTCACTCTGTCACCCAGACTGGAGTGCAGTGGCTGCTCCTGGCCACTGCAGCCTCGACCTGCTGGGCTCCGATAATCCTTCCGCCTCAGCCTTCCAAGTAGCTGGAACTACAGGCACGTGCTACCACGCCCGGCTAATTTTTTTGATTTATTGTAGAGATGAGGTCTTGCCAAGTTGCCCAGGCGGGTCTCGAACCCGCGGGCTCAGGCAATCCACTCACCTCAGCCTCCCAAAGCACAGGATTACAAGCTGAGCCACCGAGCCTGGCTGATGTTTGTCTTTAAACTTTGTAGATGGCCTTTTTGCTGTATAGAACTGGCTTGAACTGTCATGTATGTATGTATGTATGTATGTATTTATTTCAGTCAGGTTCTCACTCCGTCACCCAGGCTGGAGTGCAGTTGCATGATCACAGCTCACCGCAGCTTCAATCGGCTGGGCTCAGGCGATCCTCCTGCCTCAGCCTCCCTAATAGCTGGAACTACAGGCGTGTACTACCACATAAAACTAATTTTTTTTTCTTTTTTGTTAGAGACAAGGTCTCACTATGTTACCCAGGCTGGTCTTGAACTCCTGGGCCCAAACGTTCCTCTTGCCTACACCTCTCAAAGTGCTGGGATTACAGGTGTGTATCACTGTACCTGGCCTATTATTTTTTTATGTAGTCAAATACATTTTTTTTTCTCCTTTTGTGGCCTCTTCCCCAAGATTTTTTTTTTAAAGTCATCCTTCCCTAGAATTTTGAAAGCCTCTGTTTAGGTTTTTTTCTAGAAGCTTTACATTTTTGTATTTTACCTTGAAATCTGTGTTCCAGCTAGAAGTTGCATGTGTCAGGCAAGAAGTGGGCAATCTTCCTATCTTCTTTAAAACAAATGATAAGGCAGTTGGCGCAACATATCATTTATTGGCTAATGCTTCTTTCTCACATCACTTTGATTTGCTTTTCTTTTTCATCTGATGCTTGGTCTGTCTGGTCTACCCATTCTAGTCCATCCCTGTTCTGTTTTAAACTACCTTCACTACTTGCCCTCCAGATGGGCAGTCAGGCTTTTTCCATCAACAGCTTTTTCAGTTGTGCAGAGAAGGCCAGCAAGCATTTTATGCAGAAAGATGAAGGGGCTACCACAATGGCTAGCGTACAGATTCTGGAGGCAGACCTCTTCAGTCTGACATCCCAACCACACACTTCCTAGCTGATGGATTTGGTGACTTAATCTCTCTGAGCCTCAGATCTCCCATCTGTAAAATGGAGTAATACCTCCTAAGGGCATGTCTGGGAAGACTAGCTGAGCCTGTGCTACCCAGTGCAGCCACCTCTAGCCATGTATAGCAGTTGAGCTATAAGGTGCTATAAGGGTAGATATATGAACTACACTTTGAAAACTTAATCCAAGAGAGAGTGTAAAGTACCTTGGTAATAATTTCTTATGTTTGTCACACAATGAAATCATATTTTAGACACTGGATTAAATAAAATATATTAAAAGGATTTCTAAATAAGGAGGGCAGAAAAAAATAAAATAATTTTACCTGTTTCCTTTTATCTGTTAACATGGCTACTAGGAACTAAGATTAAGAATGTAGTAGCTAGCTGGGCTCGGTGGCTCAGCCTGTAATCCCGCGCCTTTGGGAGGCTGAGGTGAGTGGATTGCCTGAGCCCGCGGGTTCGAGACCCGCCTGGGCAGCGAGACCTCATCTCTACAATAAATCAAAAAATTAGCCGGGCGTGGTAGCACATGCTTGTAATTCTGGCTACTCAGAAGGCTGAGGCGGAAGGATCGCGGAGCCCAGCAGGTCAAGGTTGTGGTGGCTGGGAGCGGCCACTGCACTCCAGTCTGGGCGACCGAGTGAGACTCCAACTCAAAAAAAAAAAAAAAGAATGTGGTAGCTGTATTTCTGTTGAGTCGGGGTCTCACTCTGTCACCCAGGCTGGTGTGCAGTGGCATGATCACGGCTCACCACAGCCTTGACCTCCAGGGCTCAGGCAATCCTCCCACCTTAGCCTCACAAGTAGCTGGGACTACAGGTGTACATCACCACATCCAGCTAATTTTTAAAAAATTTTTTTTGTAAGCAAGGTCTCGCTATATTGCCTACGCTTGTCTTGAACTCCTGAGCTCAGGCAGTTCTCCTATGTTGGCCTCCCAAAGTGCTGGCCATGATCATCATCTATATTTCAGAGTCTTTCCTTAGAATGGAGTCTGAGGGTGGATCCAGGGTAGTTCAGAGAACAATAAGAGGAGTGATTCCCCATCTCAGGAAGCATTCATTCACGCCTTGGCCTGGTAGAGGGTAGCCAAGCCTCTCCTGGGGTGGATGAGGGAGAACTGAGCCAGGGGATTTCTTTCTTCTTGGCCTTTTCTTGCCTCCTCCCTCTACTTTTTACTCAATTCCACCAGCCTGCCCGATGGGTATGCAGAAACAAGGCCTCATGCCAAATCCAGGCTTGAATCTGCTCAACTTCCATCAGGACTGTTCCTGACCATGGAGAGAATTCACGGCATATAAGAGTACAGGTTGACTTAGAGCTAATGAAGTCAGAGAGAGTGGGTTGGTTTCCACAAGGCACGAGTTGATTTGAGAGTATGCACGAGCAGGGCTTTCCCATAAACAGATACAGATGGTCAAACTCAGGCAGAGCAGACTGCGGCCTGTGGACCAGATCTGCCCTGCCACCTGTTTTTGTTAATAAGATTTAATTGGAACACAGCCACTTGCTTACACATCATCTGTGGCTACTTTTTCCCTTTAACAACAGAGTTGAATGGTTGTGACAGAAACCAAAGAGCTGAGGAGATTTAAAACATTGACAACCCTGGATTAATGTAGAAAATATCCTCTCAGAAACATGTTTATTAGCCTTATGGCCATTGGCCTTTTTTTGCCTTTATTCAACTGATGTTAAAAATTACAAGAGATGCCTAAAGTGTAAATTCAAGCTCCAGCAAAGTGTGACTCCCATCTGATGCTCTTGAGGTCACCAACTAAATGGTGTCCAACCTGTTGTCAATTTCTAGCCCCGTGCTTAGAACTCTCAGAATCCTTCCCAAAGCCTGGGTCTCCCCTCTCAAGACTTTCCATCAACCACGTTACGCCTTATGGATTGTGTGTCTCCTGTTTGCCTTACGGTCAGGGCCTGTTGCCTTTACTTCTGCAATGACATCTCATCTTCTCTTCCTGTCCTCCCTCCTCGGCCCCTCAGTCCCTGGTACGTGAGCCCCTCTCCCGACGCCGGCAGCTGCTCCGGGAGAACTTTGTGGAGACAGAGGGCGAGTTTGTCTTCGCCACCTCCCTGGACACCAAGGACATCGAGCAGATTGCCGAGTTCCTGGAGCAGTCAGTGAAAGGTGAGGGCACCTGCTTTTTTCTCCGCTGAGGTCCGCAACCTCCCTGTGACCTGCGCTGACCCAGGTACCAGCCTGTCCCCCATCCCAGACATTATAACCGGAATCCCACCTGTTCTAGCCCTTGTGAGCCAAGGGCTTCCATGGACCACACTTGTGTCTCCCCCAGACTCCTGCGAGGGGCTGATGGTGAAGACCCTGGATGTCAATGCCACCTATGAGATCGCCAAGAGATCGCACAACTGGCTCAAGGTGATTCTTGTCCCAGCCTGGCCTTCCCTGCCAGATCCCTGGGTGTGGAACCTCTACTCTGCAGCTAGTGTGAGCTCAGGACCCTGCTCATAGCTCCACCCAGGCCTCCTCAGGTCTCCCCACTGCAGGCCCTTTTAACGAGTTCACCAAGAATTGATTGGGAACTGCCCAGCTCAAGCACTGCGAATCCCAAGGTGTGGGATTCAGATGAGGTTTCTACTCTCCCTGCTCCTGCCTTCCTGTCGGCTAGGCTCTTGGGAAGGAAGACAGCTAATATACGATAAGTCAGGCAGTAATGGGTGCTGTGAAGAAAGCAAGTCAGCTCGAGGCCAGAGGGCCTGAGAGTGCTCCGGATGATCACAAAGGGCCTCTCCAGAGGCAGCGTTTGGATAGAGACCTGGACGATAGGACAGGGTCAGCCACATGAAGGTGGGGGAGAGCACCAGCCAGGGGACTGCACAGGCCAAGGCCCTGATGTAGGCTCGGTGTGCCGTGGGGAGCAGGGGCAGGGAAGGTCAGAGTGGAGAGCAGGCCTGTAGATGAAAGTGGATCTTTCTCTAAGGGTTTCGGGAAGTCAGTGGAAGTGTCACACAAGGGAGCCAAACGGTCAGGCTGTCCTTGGACAGAAGTCCTCTGGTCACCCTGTGAGTAGTGGCTGCGTATGCTGGGAAGGCATGGGCCCCTGAAGTGGGAGCGAGCCAGCAGGAGTCTGTCATCTGGCAGAAGGGACAGCTGGGGTTGGGCAAGAGGCTCAACGGGAGACATCTTGGAGCTGAGCCGGCTGGCCCGCTGACTGGATCTTCCTGGGTGTTTACAGTTGTCTGTGGCCTGGCTGCAGCTGTGAGACCTTTCCATTTAGAAAACATTCTCTGTTGTAGCCCCAAGGCTAAACTTCTACCTAGCCCAAAGTCAGCACCTAATTAATATGCCTTGAGTGAATGGATGCATGTCCTCTGTGTGAAGGAGTGAGTCGGCTGGGTCTATACTGAGGGAAAGAGGGAATAAAGGCTGATTCCTGAGGGCCCCATCCCGCCTGCTCCTCCCATGTACTCTTGTTTAAGCCTAGAAGCCCCTCCCACCTCCAGTCCCTTCACAGGGGCCATCCTCAGCATTCTTTCTGGAAGTTCTCCTCAGACTCACCCCCATCCCTCCTCAGCCCACCCACAAGCCCCAGCAGTGAGGGCCCCACCCTTGGTGCCCCCCTCATCTCTTGCCTTCCCTTCTCGCAGCTGAAGAAAGACTACCTGGACGGCGTGGGCGATACACTGGACCTTGTGGTGATTGGCGCCTACCTGGGCCGGGGGAAGCGGGCCGGCCGGTATGGAGGCTTCCTGCTGGCCTCCTATGACGAGGACAGCGAGGAGCTGCAGGCCATATGCAAGGTCCTGGGAGCATGGGGCTGAGGGCAGAAGCAAGGGGGGAGCAGATTAGACTCTTGGGGGGACTTCTATTGGGCAACCTGGAGAAGGCCCAGACCAAGTGGTGCTCACATCCTCCCTGTGAAGGATTTTCTTTTTCCTAGTTTTTATTTACTTTTCTGATTTTATAAGCAACTCTCACTTCATATAGAAAAATAGGCTAGCACAGAAAGGTGTAAGGAGCCTATGTCAGCTAGGAATTGAGTCCAACTGCAAATAGCAGTGGCTTACGTAAGAGAAGGGTTTATTTTCCTCTCATGTAACGAAAAGTGTGAAGGGAGCAGGCAGCTCTTTGATGTCGTTAGGGATTCAGGCTCCTGCTCTCTCCCCACATTCATGGTCATGTACTTCCGGCCCCGTTGTCACCGTGTGGCTGCAGGTATTCCGGCCATCATGGCCCGGCAGGCTTCAAGCAGCAGGAAGGAGGAAGGCACGAGGGCTAAGGGGCATGGGCCCCCTGCGTCAGCCTCAGCCCCGTGAACAACTTCTGTTTCAGGCTTGTTGCTCAGGACTTTGCTCCTTGGCCCACCCTCAGCTGCAAGGGGTTCTGAAAAATGTGAAGTTTGTTGGGGTTTTTTTAAGTTAAAAAAAATTTTTTTTAAGCTAGAACTTTGCTCCTTGGCCCACCCTCAGCTGCAAGGGGTTCTGAAAAATGTGGCGTTTGTTGGGGTTTTTTTAAGTTAAAAAAAAATTTTTTAAAGCTATGCACCTCCTGACTAGATTTTCTGTTTATTTTCTATATCCCCATAGCTAACAAATTTGGGTCTTTTGCAACAGAAACAGAACAATATATCACCCAGAATCCCAGGGGCAAGCACCAGTAGCATTTGAGGAATGTTTTATTTATATTTTTACAAAGTTGTGATCCTTCTCGCTGAGTAATCTTTTCTGCCCTTTTGCCCTGTGAGTGCTGTATTTTAAATGCTGTCATATGCACTGAAGTAGTATAGTAAACTGACTGAATGCCTGCACAAGAATTTTCAGGTGGATATGTTCCAGTTTCTTGAGCCAGTTCCCTGGAGCTGTGTGGTTAGACTGTCCCCAGCTTTGTTCTTCTGAATAATGTCAGCACTTAATATTACATTAAACTGAACAATCAGTGATAGAAATAGTTTTGTAATTCACACATATCTTTGGCCACCAACCTGTCATCATTTTACATTATTTAGAATGGATTTTTTAAAGGGCTATGTCAAGACAAAAGGCAAGAACATTTTTAAGGTGCTCAACATAGAAAGGGTTTTCAACATACAAAAGGACATTTTGTATCTGTCATTTGAAGATGCCTATCTTGCCACATGTCTGCTGACATTGCATATTATTACTGTTTTTTAGTCTTGCTTATTTTGGTGGGTGAAAGAAGCTCTTGGCAGGGTTGAGGTTAGAGGTGATGACAGCTGCACAGGGGGTTGTGGGTGAGCCCAAGGGAGTGGCTTCCAGGGTCGAGGAGACAGTGGAAGGAGCAGGGGTTTCTTCAGAAGACACAAGGTGATGAGTGGGTTCTCGGTTCTCGGAGGGCCTGTCGGGAGAGTGCCCCACCTGGGCATCTGGCTGGATACCCAGCACCTGGCTCACCCCTTCCTCTTGTTTCTGTGGCTCCTGCTTGGACTAGTAGGGGGTGGGGGCCCCCAGTGTGCACAGAGTCTGGTCTAACATGGCAGGAGCAGGGAGGAAGCCCCAGGCCTACCCTGGCTGAGCCTCTGATCTCCCACATCCTCCCTGCAGCTTGGAACCGGCTTCAGTGACGAGGAACTAGAGGAGCATCACCAGAGCCTGAAGGTGAGCCGGGCGCCCAGCCTCAGCCCCTCCGCCTCTCTTAGCACGTGCCATCATGGAGCTCAGGATACAGCAGGAGGGCAGTAGGCAGGGAGCAGCGGTAGGGTTCAAAACCTCTGGTTTCAGCTGGGGTGCTGGTTCTAGCTGAGGACACTGCTCAGGGAACCTTGTCACCCCAGGTCCAGGCCTCGGCCACACTGGGGCAATCACTGGCACTATTGCAGGGTTCCCTGAGCCGACCCTTGTATAGTGCCTCGTGTGCCCCAGTGAATGGGACATTGCTCTCTTTAGAATCTCAGTACAAGTCTCTGTCCTATATATTGGTGTCCCTGCATCCTGACTCCGTCTCTGTCCCATTCTTTGACTCACTCTCTGGGTCTCTGTTCCTCTTCTGTCTTTAATTCCACCTCAGCTCCCAGGGTCTTTCCTTTCTTCCCACCTCTCATATTTCCCGGCTCCCAGCTTTTTACTTTAAAGGGGTGTCTGTTTCTATTCCCTTCCTTCATTTTCCTCCCTTTCCCCACTCCCCAGTCTGTGGCCTTGACTTTGAGATCCAGGACCCCCTATTCCTCTCTCCCTCTGCTCACCGCAGGCCCTGGTGCTGCCCACCCCACGCTCCTATGTGCGAATAGATGGTGCCGTGACCCCCGACCACTGGCTGGAGCCCAGCACAGTGTGGGAGGTGAAGTGCGCTGACCTCTCCCTCTCCCCCATCTATCCTGCCGCCCGGGGCCTGGTGAGTGACAACACAGGGCCTGGGATAGCCTCCAGGGGTTCCAGGTGGGAACGCAGAGAGCAGAGGAGGGAAGGGACCTGGGGGCCCACATCTGCCCCTCCTGAGTGACGCTCATGTGGGTGTCAGGTGACCACGTCAAAAGCCCTTTTCTTGTAAAAGCTGCATTTCCCAGGAATAGAAAGAAAATAGTGACGTTACTCTCTTTAGAATCATAATCTCACCTTTGGCTCTGAAGTAGTTTTTGAAAACTTGATTCTTTTAAGTAAAAGCTTAATGCACTTCCTGCTGAGCATTTACCTCGACTACTGGAATTTCTTCCTCAGCTATGATTAATTTTCACACTACCAAATTTTAAAGTTCCCTAGCTAGTTTCTCTTTTCTTTTTTTTTAATATTTTTTAAATTTTTTTTTAGTTGGAGTCTCACTCTGTCGCCCAGACTGGAGTGCAGTGGCCGCTCCTGGCCACCTCAGCCTCGACCTGCTGGGCTCTGGCGATCCTTCCGCCTCAGCCTTCCAAGTAGCCGGAATTACAGGCATGCGCTACCACGCCCGGCTGATTTTTTTTTTATTTATTGTAGAGATGAGGTCTCACTGCCCAGGCGGGTCTCGAACCTGCGGGCTCGGGCAATCCACTCACCTCAGCCTCCCAAAGGTGCGGGATTACAGGCTGAGCCACCGAGCCCAGCTTAGTTTCTCTTTCTAGTGACCGTCTCCAATACCAGCTGAAGCGTTACTGTACACCAGGGGAGAACACCAGCCTGCAACTAGTGCTGGGAAATCCCCCCGTTTTCTCCTCCCTAAGAACAGTGAATCTCAAATTTAAGATATACTTTTTTTTAATTGAATCAGGGTGTCACCCTTTCACCCAGGCTGGAATGCAATGACACAATCATGACTTAACACAGCCTCAACTTCACAGGCTGAAACAATCCTTCTGCCTCAGCCTCCTGAGTAGCTGGGGCTACAGGCATGCACCACTATGCCCAGCTAATTTTTTTTTTAGTGTTTCTTGTGGAGATGAGGTCTCACAATGTTTCCCAGGCTGTTTCCAAATCCCTGGGCAAACTTCAAGTGATCCTCCCTCCTCAGCCTTCCAAAGTGCTGGGATTACAGGCGTGAGCCACCACGCCCACAAGATGTACTTTCTTTGCTGTTTCTTCCCATCCTTCAAAACCAAGGTAGCACAAACTTTTTCTCATGAGAAAGAGACTTCCATATTTAAAGGAGAAACTCATATTTTTAGTCTCATTTTTAATTTCTCACACATGCTGCCCATTAGAGAGCCAGGGTTCCCTGGTAACAAGGGACAGGAGCTGGCATTTATACAGGTCTTACTTACTGTGAAGTAGGCTCTGTGTGATAACTAGCATGTCACTTGTATACCTCACTTAATCCTCACAAAAACCCCAAGACATAGCGATATGAACATCTTCATTCTGCAGGTGAGGAAATTCAACAGAGCCAGGGTTCCCTGGTAACAAGGGACAGGAGCTGGCATTTATACAGGTCTTACTTACTGTGAAGTAGGCTCTGTGTGATAACTAGCATGTCACTTGTATACCTCACTTAATCCTCACAAAAACCCCAAGACATAGCGATATGAACATCTTCATTCTGCAGGTGAGGAAATAGCCCCAGAGAGCTCAGTAACTGGCCCAGGGTCATTGCAGTTCTGAGAGTTGGGGACTGAGATTTGAAGCCCAACCTAATTCTGGAACCTTCCTTCTGACTCTTTGCTGTTCTGCCTCTCAGCCTGAATTGTAATAGTAATAATAGCATAAATAACAGCTATAGCAACCAGCATTTCTTAGGCTTCTGTTATGCCCCAGGTATGGTTGCAAGCATTCTGCCAGCTTGTTTAATTCTCACAACAAACCATTGTTCAGCCCAGTGTGTGGATAAGAGACAAGCCTGAGTGAAGGAGAGACTTGGGCAGGGAATGGCTGCAGCCAAGTAGACTGGGCTGGATCACAGTAGAGTCTGCTCCCCTCCCTACCCTCCCCCAGGTGGACAGTGAGAAGGGGATCTCCCTTCGCTTCCCCCGGTTTATTCAAGTCCGTGAAGACAAGCAGCCGGAGCAGGCCACCTCCAGTGCCGAGGTGAGGCCCTTGGAAGAAGGGAAGGTCACTGAACTGCCTGGCCAAGCCCGCTTCTTAAAGAGGCAGACTCAAGCCTGGAACATGGGGGAGGTGGGTACAGCCAGGATGCTTCTGACCCCCCATCCCCCACCCCACCCTCTCCCCGCAGGTGGCCTATTTGTACCAGAAGCAGAGTCAGATTCAGAACCAAGAAAGCGACAACTCAGACTTTGACTTTGAAGATATTTACTAAGCATCTGCCCTTAAGCAAATCTGATGTTGCAGTCTATGATCCTTGAGTCAGGAATGTGTGTGTGTGAAGATGTGGTTTACACTGGGGCCTGGGATTCATTCAGTCATTTCTTTCAATAAATAATTATCAAACACCTCCTCTGTGACAAGGTCCATTCTAGGTTCTAGGACAGAGCTCTGATGGGTCACGCTCATGTAGCATGTAGTAATGCGCTAGGAAGTGTCTAGCCAGCGCCATCCAGTAGAACTTTCTCCAGCTGTAGGAGTGTTCTGTATCTGCTCTATGCGGTGTGACAGCCAAAGTGCGATCATCGAGTACTTGGCATGTGGTCAGTGTGACTGAGGGTGCAAATATTTCATGAAATTGACTGGACAGTGGCAATCTAAAGTATATGTGTGTGTGTGTGTGTGTGTGTGTGTGTGTGTGTGTGTGTGTGTGTGTGTATGTTTAGAGGCAGGGTCTCACGCTGTTGCCCAGCCTGGAGTGCAGTGGCACAATCATAGCTCACTGCAGCCTCAACTTCCTAGTCTCAAGCCATCCTCATCTTGTCTCAGCGTCCCAAGTAGATGGGACTACAGGCATGAGCCACACAGGCCTAATTTTGTTTATAGCGATGGGAGTCAACTCAGCCTCCCAAGTAGCTGGAACTATAGATGCAGACCACCACCACACAGGCCTAATTTTGTTTATAGTGATGGGAGTCAACTCAGCCTCCCAAGTAGCTGGGACTATAGATGCTGACCACCATCACACCAGCCTTTTTTTTTTTTTTTTTTTTTTTTTTTTTTTTTTGTGTTGATGAGGTTTCACTCTGTTGCCTAGTCTGGTCTTAAACTACTGGCCTCAAGCAATCCTTCCGCTTTGGCCTCCCAAAGTGTTGGGATTACAGGCATGAGCCACCACCTCCAGTCTAGTTCTAGTATGTGATCGTACAGTAGGGAAATTATATTAATGATTGTGTATTTCAGAAGAGCTAGATTTGTAATGTTCCTAACATAAAGAAATGATAAATGTTTGAGGTGATGGACATCCCAATTACCCTGATTTGATCATTACATGTTAAGTAGTTACCAAAATGTCACAGGTACCTCCAAAATATGTACAACTATTACATATTAATTAAAATAAGTATCCCATGAAAGGCACATTGGAAACACCCAGATCCAGCTCCCCTCGTTTTCGTTAGGGAAGGATTGCTAGTTGCTCTGGTACAGGGACCCCAACTTATCTAGGGGCCCTCAAAACAGCATTGTAGCCACTTTATGAGAGAGGATATTTTATCCTCATTCCACAGATGAGGGAATTGAGGCTCAAAGAAACAGCCTCCTTTGTTCCGTTGTACATGAGCTATGAAACCAGCATCCCAGTTGTCTTCTGACTCCACCACTGGCTTGTTTTCAGAGCTCCATTCTGCACAGCACAGAGAAAGGAGGAACAGGGAGAAAGGCGGGAGGGAGTGAGAAAGGAAAGTGAGGAGGAATGGATCCGGTGTTGAGCGTTTCCAAGAGGGTGAAAGAGAAACTAGATATGAAAACAGAAGGGGGGGAGTGGAGAGAGAAGGAGAGATAGAGGTGTGGTTGGAAGGAAAAGTGAGAAAGAATGGGAGAACATGAGAGAGGTTTAAAGAAAGAGATCGACCGGGTGTGGTGGCTCAAACTTGTAATCCCAGCACTTTGGGATGCTGAGCGGAGGATTGTTTGAGGTCAGTAGTTCAAGACCAGCCTAGGCAACATTGCAAGATCTCATCTCTACAGGTAATTCTTTTTTTTTAATTACCAGGCATGATGGCACGTGCCTGTAGTCCCAGCTACTCCAGAGGCTGAGGCGAAAGGATCATCTGAGCCCAGGAGATGGAGGCTGTCATGAGCCATGATTGTGCCACTGCCCTCCAGCCTGGGCAACAGAGTGAGACCCCAACTCAAAAAAAAAAGGAAGAAGAAAGAGAATTAGCAGAGGGAAGGATGAGGGAGAAGGAAGAAAGTGGGCAGAATCCAAATATAAGCTCAATTCTGTTACAATGTTTATGTATATCAAAATGTCACATTGAACACATATATAATTTTTATTTGTCAATTATACTGCAGTAAAGCTGGGGGGAAAAATAAAAGGCTGCTGGGGAAAAAACATGAAAAAATACCCAAGAAAATTCTGAAAAATCAGAGAAATTGAGGGTGGCAGTAGGGATAGGATGTTTGCCCTATGAGATATTTGAAAATACATAACAATAGTAATTTTTAAAATAGGACACTAGTGCAGGAACAAATAAACTGATAAATATAATAAAAAATCTCAGGATAAATTTTTTTTTAATTATGTGTTAGGGGTATGGGTCATCTCACTCCCTACTGGCTACCGACCACTGCAATTCAAGCTGCTGACTCCTTCCCAAAAAGTTAATGTTGCTCACAGAATTGTGACTTTTTTTTTTTTAATCCAGGCCCTATCATAGAGGAGAAGAGCTGTTCGTGGATAAAAGCACACAGCAAGGTTTGAAGCATTCCATTGTCAGGGTCCTGTCCCTCTCAGTCAGACTCCTGGCAATTCCCACAAAGGTTAGAGAGACACCCAAGCCCAGTTGCCTCTCCACAGGAGAGGAACTGGAGGATTGAGGTAGGACAGGGACTGATCAGGAGGTACAGCCAGCCTTAGAAGCACTGATTTTCCAACTCTTGAGTGTGTATGGCCATACCAAGCTGCCTGCCCAGTGCCCAACAGGGTGTCAAAGGTCTCCCGTGTCTCGGAATAGATGGTGTCCAGATCTGAGGTGTCAGGGGAGGGGACACAGGATGTGTGGGCTGGGCTCCAGGTGGGCGATGGCTGTAGAAAGGACTGGTTTGCTTAAAAAGGGTGTCTGTCCTCGAGCTTAGCTTCACCTTAGGAGTGTCCATCTCACACAGACACTCTGAGGGAACCCCTATCCTCTAGGATGAGGGACGCAGATGGACCAAGCCAGGAAGTCAGGCAAATGACCGATTCACCCAAGGGGCTACCAACAAATTTACCAAAAGAACTGACTTACCCTCTCTCCCTTCCTGGCCCCAACCCCAATTTGTTTCCCGGGTACATGAATGTGATACGTGATGGTTATTGCATAGGAAGGATTCATTAACAATTCTGTTTTAAGGAATATTCGTCTTCAATATAGATATATTATGACAATTTTCTCTTTGGGATGTCAGCCTGGGCGGTCGCAACCCTCACGTGACAGCTGCCCACGACAAAAACAGCTGTGGGCGAGCTCGGGTACAATGGAAAAGCTGGAGCAACCCGGTGGAACCCCCCCAAAAAAGTGTAGGGTGCATTTTGTCTGTATTACTCCATCCCCCAGGCTGGCACATCTCAGGGCCAGGAGGAAACACCTCCAGCCGAGACTTCGTCCGGCAGGGGGAAAGGACCTCAAGATCCGCCGCCGAGGACCCCCGCAGTCTTCTCCCACGGAGACCCCAGCAGACCGAGGTGCCCAGAGCCCGCGCCAATACGCCCAGAGAGTTGGAGTCTTGCCTACCCTGCCCCATGCCCCAGGCCCACCGCGCACGCGCGCACGCGCACACGCGCCCCGGAGCAGGCACCACCGCGCACGCGCACATATGCCCTGGAGCACGCGTCTCTGAGCACGCGCACACGCGCACACACGCCCCAGAGCGGGCACCACTGCGCACGCGCGCACCCACACGCCCGGGATCTGACACGACTGCGCACGCGCCCCAGACCCAGACCCAGGCAAGCTTCGGGGGTTCAAGAGGGCTGTTTTATTCTGCTGGGGCGGACATAAGGAAGTACCTGGGACTGAATGGATGAAACAGTAGAAATTTATTTTCTCACCAGTCTGGAGGCTGGAAGTCTGAGATCAAGGTGTCGGCGGGGTGGTTTTCCCGGAGTCCTCTCTCCTTGACCTGTGCTTGTCTCTGGTTCCTCAGTCCATCTCTCCTGTGTGTGTGTCTGGGGCTTCATCTTTTCTTTTTTTTTTTTTAATGAAGATGTCAGTCATATTGGATTAGGGCCCACCCTCAGGACCTCATTTTAACTTACCTGTTTAGGAACACATTGCCCACATTCTGAGGTCCTGTCGCTTGCACACCGACATAGACAAGCCCGGGATGTGATGGAAGGAAGGTGATTTTATTCTAAAAAAAGGCAGCTGAGGGCATGGCCTGGCTCATGCCTCAAAGAAATCATTTGTGCTCTTGAGGCTGAGTGCAAAGGTTTAAAAAGGGAGACGGCATGGGAGACATGCCAGCTAGGCACAGGGTGTGTCTTGGTGGCTTATTGGGTGGTTACTCAGCTGCAGTTAGTTGGGTTGTGGCCCAGCTGTCTCTGGGCGCCTCCCAATTAGAAGGTCCTGCAGTGGATTTTAAGTTTGGCCTCTGGGGTTTCTAAGCAAGCATAAGGTGGACGTGTGCATGGTGAGAAGTTTCTAGAACATGTTTCAAGGCTTCAGATTAAGGGAGGAGGGTAAACAACTTTATTTGTTTTGGGGTTTGTTTGTTTTTTAACTGAAGTCTCACTCTGTCACCCAGGCTGGAGTGCAGTGGCACAGTCACAGCCACCACAGCCTCGACCTGCTGGGCTCAGGCAATCCTTCCGCCTCAACCTTCCAAGTATCTGGAGCTACAGGGAGTGCCACCACGCCTGGCTAATTTTTTAATGTATTGTAGAGACAAAGTCTTGCCAAGTTGCCCAGGCTGGTCTTGAATCCCTGGGCTCAGGCAATCCTCTCACCTCCACCTCCCAAAGTGCTGGGATTACAGCTGTGAGCCACTGTGTCTGGCTGGGAAAATAACTTTAAAATGCATTTTAAGGCTGAGATACTTGGTTATACTGGGGGTTAGAACTCCAACACATGCATTTGGGAGTGGGGGTGGCTGGGAGACACAGTTCATCCCATAAGGGTCCCGACCTTCTCCACTGTCTTCATAATTTCCAACAGCAGGCGCAGGACTGATCAGAAACATTTCTTGGGCAGAGGGGCTGAGAATTTCCCCAACACAGTGGACCATGGAAAGGTAAGCCCTCTCAGGAGGGACCACTGCGGGGAAGCAGAGCCTTTGTTTAATAAAATACACCATAAGTGTCAGGAAATTAGTTATGACACTCCTCTTGCTTGGGTGATGAACTGGCGATATTTGCATATAGACACACCTGAGGGCAAGGAAGGATAAAGGAGCCACTGTGGATTGAGAAGAAATTCTACCAAGTACCTACTGCACGTGGACACATAAATCAGATTTCTTGGTTGCAGGGCCTTCAAGCTACAAAGGGAATGTGTAGCCTTTCTCGGAGAGGAAAGTGTGTTCGTTGCCAAGCTGTTTATTATTCCTTTGCCCAGATATGCAAATAAATTTAGAATGTATTTACTTAGAATTTGGGGGGTATGGCCCTCAGCGCTACCACTTACTAGTTGGGTAACCTTGATCTAATTGGGTGTCCTCCATGGGCTGACAGATTTAACTGAACCAGATGCGAGCGTAGTTTGAGGAACTTCATTGTGATTGATGACAATTCAGCAGGTTAGGGTCTGGCTTCCAGGGAAGGTTGGTGGTTTCCTAACATCACGGTACTCCTGAAGGTTAGTGCCTGGGTAAATCAAGATGTCCAGAATTACTTCCACAGTTAGAAGAAGTCACACCTAGGACCCACATCATCTTCAGGACTTGTTTGCCCTGCCCCGAAACAGGATGTGTGTGTAACAAGAAAGACACATTTAAAACAAATGAACTGAGGAAGCTGGACAAAATGAACCATGAGCAGCCCTCCAAATTACCACTGAACGATGGAAATAGAAGGAAAGCCACAGGAGTAATTTTAAATTTTCTAGCCATATTTTACAAAGTAAAAAGAAACAGATGCAATTCATTTTTATTTTTATTGACCTGGCACGGTAACTCATGCCTATAATCCCAGCACTTTGGAAGGCCAAGGCAGGAGAATTGGTTGAGCCCAGGAGTTTGACACCCGCCTGGGCAACATAGTGAGACCTCATCCTACAAAAAAATAAAAAATTGTCTGGGTGTGGTGGCACACACCTGTAATTTCAGCTACTCAGGAGGCTGAGATGGAAGGATCACCTGAACCCAGGAGGTTGCGACTAGGATAAGCAGGAATTATGCTCCTACACTCCAGCCTGGATGGCAGAGTGAGACCCCGACTCAAAAAAAAATTTTTTTCTACTTAATTTTTTATTGTGGCAAAATACACATAACGTAGAGTTTCTCGTTTAACAATTGTAAAGTGAGCTATTCAGTGGCATTGAGTACATTCACAATGTTATGTGACCATCACCTCTGCCTATTCCAGGACATTTTCATTGACCCCAAAAGGAAACTTCTTACCCATTCAGCCATGCCTCCCACTTCTCTCTCTCCCCCCAGCCCCTGCCAACCACTAATCTCCTTTTCTGTCTCTATGGATTTGCCTATTCTGGACAGTTCATTTTAATAGAATCATACAGTATGTGGCCTTCTATACTTGGCATCTTTCATTTAACATGATGTTTCCCATGTTGGTTTAAGGTATCAATACTTCATGCTTTTTCATGGCTGGACATAGTACAGTATTCCATTGTGTGGATAGACCATGTTTTGCTTATCTATTCATCATTTGAAGGGCATCTGGGCTGCTTCCATCAACAGCATATCTGTGAACATTTGTGTTCAAGTACTTGAACACCTGTTTTCATTTCTTTGGACTATGCGCACACACATACCCAGGACCTGACACAGCTATGCACATGCCCAGACCCTGACTCAGGCAGGATTGGGAAGAGTTGCTGGGTCCCGTGGTAATCCTGTGTTTAACTTTTTGAGGGACCACTAAACTCTTTTCCACCATGGCTGAACCATACAATTAATTTTAATCATATATTGTATTTATATTCACTTTCCACAATTTTATTTCAGCCAGTCATCAATATAAAAAGGATTACTGGTCTGGGCACAGTGGCTGGCGTCTGTAATCCCAGCACTTTCGGAGGCTGAGGTGGGAGAATCACTCAAGCCCAGGAGTTTGAGACCAGCCTGGAAAACGTAGCGAGACCTCATGTCAACAAAAAATTAAAATAAGAAAAAATTTCACTCATAAGTGGACCCTGAACATTTACCATGATACTATAAGAAAGGCATTGGCAGTAGCAGGAAACTGCCATGGTAGGTGGGGGGGAGGGGTAACAACATCAATAAGGGTACCTGATCTCAAGCCAGGTAAAGTGGGGACCAAAGGGAGGCCCAAACTTTACCTGTAGGATGGCCGCTTATGTATCTAATCCTGTATTGTGCCCCACATCTTTAAAATAAAAATTAGCCATGCATAGTGGCGTGCCTATAGTTCCAGCCACTTGGGAGACTGAGACAGGAAGATTGATTGAGTCCAGGAGTTTGAGACCAGCGTGGGCAACATAGCGAGACCTGTCTCTACAAAAATTTTTAAAAAGTAGCCAGATATGGTGGCATGCACCTGTAGTCCCAGCTACCTGGAAGGCTGAGGTGGAAGGATCACCTGAGCCCAGCAGGTTGAGGCTACGGTGGCCGTGAGTGTACCATTTGCACTCCAGCTTGGGTGACAGAGTGAGACTCCGACTCAAAAGATAAAAGAAACAAACACCATATAAGATACTTTACATTCTCTGTTTTGGGCTACGCTGTTAGCATCTGGTGTATATTTGACACTCAGATCACATCTCGTTTCAGACTCACCATGTGTGACTGGTAGCTGCCTTCTTGGACAGCCCAGCTCTAGATCAGACTTTGTTTTTTTTCACTGTGAACTTTCTGGAGTTTGTTGGTTTTATTTTCATTTTCTCCTGGGAAGCTCTGAGGTTTCCATAGTTCCTGGGCTCCAGAAAGAAGAGGAGGCGGCTGTGAAGAGACGCAGCTCCCAGGTGTTGAAGGCTCTGAAGAAACTAAACATTGAGGCTGATGAGGTGAGGGAAGACGATGACCCCACGGATCCTGGGATTGTCCCCTCTGTGTCTGGTATCTGGGGTCCATCTCAGCCAGGGCAAGCTGGAATGAAGGGAGGAAAAAGAAGGGACAGATCAGCCAGGCATGGTGACTCACACCTGTAATCCCAGCACTTTGGGAGGCTGAGGTGGGAGGATCGCTTGAGGGCTTGAGATCAGGAGTTTGAGACCAGCCTGGGCACCATAGCCAGACCGCATCTCTGCAAAAACAAAACAGAACTACCTGGGTGTGGTGGTGCAGGCCTAGAGTTCCAGCTACTTGGAAGGCTGAGGTGGGTGGGAGAGTTGCTTGAGGACAGGAGTTCAAGACCAGCCTGGGCAACATAGCAAGACCTCCTGTCCACAAGATACCACATTTATAAATATTTTAAAAATTAAGAAAAAAGAAGGGACACATGTCTATGGGACAGATGTTGTCCCTGCCCAAGGGAGACCCTAGACACCCTTCTTGTGCCCACCCCATCCAAGGCTGTGAGCCTTGAATTACTTCTCTCTCCAATGCCCAGGCCCCGGTCATTGCTGTGCTGGGCTCCGGCGGGGGCCTGCGGGCCCACATTGCCTACCTTGGGGTCCTGAGTGAGATGCAAGAACTAGGCCTGTTGGATGCGGTCACATACCTCGCAGCGGTCTCTGGGTCCACTTGGTAAGTGTCACGTTTTGAGATGTTTTCTGGCCCCAAACTGAGACTTTGTTTTTTCCCTGACACCCAGTGTGTGTGGTGTTTTCCCACATCACTTCTCCGACACCCGCTGGGTGTCCTGCAATTCGGCGCGTTTCTGACACTGTCTGCCTGGAGTGAGAGTCAGATCCCCCTTGTCAAGGGGCTCAGTTCCACAAGACTGCTACCAGGCCTGGCGTGGTAACTCACGCCTGTCATCCCAGCACTGTAGGAGTGGGAGGATCACCTGAGCCCAGGAGTTTGAGACCAGCCTGGACAACATAGTGAGACCCAGCTCTACAAAAATAAATAAATGAAAATGATACTTTAAAAAAAAAAAGAAAGACTGCTACCAGTTCAGACATGGGCCACAGCTGCCAGGCCATCAGTACTTCTGACCCACTGCCAAGAAATTGGGGCTTCCCATGGTTTCCTCATGCTCAGTGATTTGCTAGAACAGCTCACAGAACCGAGGAGCACACTTTCCTTACATTTATAAAGACTCTAACTCAGGAACAGCCAGAGAGGAAAGAAACACCCAGGACAAGGCATGGGGGAGGGGCACGGAGCGGCTCCCAGCACCTTCACGTGTTCACCAATACGGAAGCCCCCCCAAATCCCATCGTTGAGGGATTTTATGGCATTTCCATTATGAGGACAGGCTTGATTGCATCATTGGCCACTGGTGATTGAGCTCAATGTCCAGCCCTCCTTACCCCAAGAGGTCGAGGGAGATGGGGCTGAATTTTCCACACTTCTAACCATGGTTTGGTCATTCCGGTGACCAGTCTGCATCCTGAAGTACCTAGAGGCCCCTCAGCCCCTTGGCCACAGTCATTAGAACAAAAGACGTTCCTATCACCTTTGTGGTCAGAAAATGCCAAGGGTTTGAGGAACTCTGTGCCAGGAACCAGGGACAAGCACCAAGTGTCTTTCTTATTATACCACAGACGGTCTCTGCCAGAGCATCATGATATTACCTGCTGACATTTAAAGGAAAATTTACATGTTTCAGGTGCAGTTTTCACACTGAAGGGTTGGAATACAGCCCCCTTTAACGTCTCAGCCTTTACAATAGAGTATTGCACTCAGTCTATATAGGATTTCTCATTCAGGAGGTCCCAGATGGGAGGTATGAAGCACTCATGCCTGTGTGTCTTCTCCAGGCCCAGAACAGACACTACTAATCGATCTCTGTGCATTCTCAGCACAGGATGTATGGCTGGGCAGGGTAGTAGGTGCCAGAGTGAGGCAGGCTGGTCCAATGCATTCATGTGGGAACTGGCAGGCCTGATGTGTTTTCCTTCCTATGCTTTAGCTTTGATCTGGAGCTGGGTTCTGAGCTGGGCATGGAGGATGAGGCTACCGGAGGCAACAGCATGAAGACAGTGGCGCGAGCATGGGCGGTTAGGCAGGTCCTGCGAGGCTACACAGGACCTATATACAGGTGGGGGGGGGCTCCCAAAAACCCAGAATTGTCTGCTGGGGGTGTCCCTTGTAGTACAGGCTTTCCCCGCTGAGTGAATGTTGTAGGAACTCATCAGCATCAGTGTAACAGCTAGTGTTGCTGTGAGGGGCTGCGTTCAACTTCCGTGAATTTCTTTGGCACTATTTCATGATGGGTGATTTACAAGCACACCTGCCCACACCACGCTCAGTGTTCAGCGGTTTTTGACCAAACTCGGCATGACCCCCGTGCCCCACCCTCCCTATTCATCCAGTCTCGCCCTGAGTGACTTTTTTTTGTTTGTTTCCCTGGATGAAAAAAGTCCTCAAAGGGAAACATTTTGCCAATGTGGAAGAGAATAAACAAACCCAAAAAATGGCAGAAGCCCTAAAAGGCATCAAAACTGATGAGCTCTGAGCAGTGGAAAAAGCATTTTGGTCGGTGTATTACATCAAACAGAGAGTACTCTGAAGGTGACTGAAGTTTAAACATGTAAGAATAAATGCAGGGCAACTTGGCGAGACCTCATCTCTACAATAAATGAAAAACTAGCCGGGCGTGGTAGCACACTCCTATAGTTCCAGCTACTTGGAAGGCTGAGGCGGAAGGATTGCCAGAGCCCAGTAGGTTGAGGCTGCGGTGGCCGGGAGCATGCCACTGCACTCCAGTCTGGGTGACAGAGTGAGATTCCAACCTCCAACTCCAAAAAAAAAAAGCCAGGCTCAGTGGCTCAGCCTGTATTCCCGCGCCTTTGGGAGGCTGAGGTGAGTGGATTGCCTGAGCCCACGGGTTCGAGACCCGCCTGGGCAACTTGGCAAGACTTCATCTCTACAATAAATCAAAAATTAGCCAGGTGTGGTAGCGTACCCCGGTAGTTCTAGCTACTTGGAAGGCTGAAGTGGAAGGATTGCCAGAGCCCAGCAGGTCAAGGCTGCGGTAGCCGGGAGCGGCCACCGCACTCCAGTCTGGGTGACAGAGTGAGACTCCCAACTCAAAAAAAAAAAAAAGAAGAAGAAATGCACAATTTAAGAAAATAAATTCCGAGGTGTTTTGGGTGCTCCCTTGTTTTCCTCCAAGGCTCAGCTAACGTGCTGAGCGACATGGCCTAGGGTTTTGCAGAACTGCCTGTTGCAGAACTCCAGGGGGTGCTATGGCCCTGGGAATCACATGCTTTCTCCTTTCATGTTGCTCCTTGGAGGTGCAGAGGCTGCAGCCTGCAGTTAATCAGGCAGACATTACATCCCAGCAGCTTGGGGGCCGTTCCTGGAGGGGCCTTGGTGGGCTGTAATGAGCCCAGGCATAACGTCTGTGTGCCTCAGTTTCCTCAACTGTTGAAGAAGGTAACAGTGTTGATCGCACAGAGCTGCTGTGAGAATTAAATGATGAAACACACACGAAACATCCAGACCCGAGCGATCCAATAGAAATATAAGCAGTTTCTGTTGTTTTAAATTTTTCTGGTAGCCTCATCAGGAAGGTAAGAAACAGTGAAATTATCGCCTGATTCATTGGTTCACACCTGTAATGCCAGCACTTTGGGAGGGGCAAGGCAGGAAGATCACTTGAGGCCAGAAGTTTGAGACCAGCCTGGGCAACACAGCAAGACCCCATCTCTCAAAAAATGTGGTACATATACATGATGAAATATTAGCAGCCATATAGATGGACAAACATATGGACTTTGCAGCAACTTGGATGGATTTAGAGTCTTATCATACTCAGTGATCTATTACAGAAATAAAGAACTGGGTAACACATGTTCTCATAAGTGGACCCTGAACATTTACCATAATGCTGCAAGAAAGGGATTGGCAGTAGTGGGATACTACCAGGGTGAAGGGGGGACACAACATCAATAAGGATATCTGATCTCAAACCAGGCAGAGTGGAGACCAAAGGGAAGCCCAATTTTACCTGTACGATGTCCACTTGTATACCTAATCCTGAATTGTACCACACATCTTTAAAATAAAACAACTTTCTCTGTGTAGTTCTCAATTCGTTGCTCAAGGCACACTACAGAAAATAAAGCATGGAGATGTGAAGTGATCTGGAAAGAAATGCAGGCAGCTGCTCATTACTTGTGTGAACTTGGGCAAGTTACCTAACCTCTCTGTGCCTTAGCTTCACCCTCTGTAAGTTGAGAATGACCTTACTGTTCCTTTTGTTGGTTTGCCAGGAGAATTGTGTGAGTTAATAGGTATGAAAGATTGAAGCACACATGTTGTGCTCCGTAAATGTTAGGCTGAGAAAAAATTATTTGACTCTGATGAGTCATTTTTTTCTACCTCGCTCTCATTTTCCTACCTGTAGAATGGAAAGGCTGTCCCAGGTGATTTTGAGACTTCCCTTTAGCTGTATTATCCTTCAGTTTTATTTGTTTAATATACATTAATTATCCACTTCCTCTGTGTGTTCCCCACCCCATGAGGTCTTGAACTGGTCTCGAACTCTTGGGCTCAAGCAATCCTCCTGCCTCGGCCTTCCAAAGTGCTAGGATTACAGCCCTCATCGTCCAAGCTTCTGATCTCCAACTCACTCTCCTTCCTCTCCCCCAGGGCCCTTTCGTTATTCTATACCAACGATGGCCACATGAAAGACATCGAGGCGGAACTGAAGCATCGATTTGACCAGAAGGAGTGGGACTTGGACAAGAGCCTCGAGAAAACCATCCAAGCTGCGAGGCTGGAGAATTACTCTCTGACCGACTTTTGGGCTTACATGGTTGTCTCCAAGCAAACCAGAGAAGTGAGTCATCCCGGTGAGGGCCAGGGTGAGGGGCACTGGGCATGGGGTCACTGAAGGATAATACCTCCACCCACACCACTGTTTATGTCTTTCAAGACTTCCAAATCCAAGCACTTAGATCCCCTCTCAAAACTAAAATACAAGGGGGAACCTGAAAAAAAATAGCATTTATTTATAAGAGATTGTATATTTATTCCCACATGTAAATTTCAGTCACCTTCAAAAATCCTCTTCGTTTGATGCACTAGCACGCACGGGCTCCCCCACACTTCATCTTGGCACTTTTCCCCCAAAGCTGCAGGACTCCTGCTTGTCCAGCATGAGGACGCGCGTAGAAGAGGGGACACTCCCCTACCCGATATTTGCAGCCATTGACAACGACCTCCAAGCTGCCTGGCAGAGGAGAAAAGCAAGGAGTAAGCCAACATTTGGAGGAAGGGAGAGAAGCAAGGGATTGAAAAGTGAAGGGCAAGGATACTGTCCGGATTTTCCCTAGGGTTGCCCCAGAGGAGGGAAGGAAGGGCTCAGGAGTGCTCAGCTTAGAAGAGAGAAGGGGAGAGTCCCAGAGGCAGCCAGAGGACACATGCTTGCTTTGTGGGGATCAAGAAAGCTGTAAAAGGCCGGGCACAGTGGCTCATGCCTGTAATCCCAGCACTTTGGGGCGCCAAAGTGAGAGGATTGCTTGAGCCCAGGAGTTCAAGGCCAGCCCGGGCAACATAGTGAGACCCTATCTCTACAAAAAAAATAAAAATAGCCAGGTGTGTTAGTGCATACTTACAGTCCCAGCTACTTGAGAGGCTGAGGAGGGAGGATCGCTTCAGCCCAGAATGAGGCTGTGGTGAGCTATGATTGCACCACTGCACTCTAACCTGCACTCTACCCTAGACCCTGTCTCTCAAAAAAAAAAAAAAAAAAAAGAGGGAGAGAGGAAGGGAGGGAGGGAGGAAAAGAAAGTTACAACAAGGGATGCTTGAGGGATGGGACAGGGGGTCTCTCACTTTTTGCATGCCATCATCTTCCATCACTCTCTCCACTGCTTGTGACTCCCCAGACCTCCCTTCTGAGCCCATCTCTCTCCTGAGAGTCAGTTTCCAAAGCGTAAAGTGTATTCATCTGTTCAGCAAGCACACCCTGATTTCTCACTGTGCATCGGGCAAAATCCCTGCTGCTTGGACGTCCCCTGGCGTCTTGAGGCTCAGAAGTCTCCAGTGTGGATGCTTTACCTCCCAGTTGGATCCTTGGGCTGTTTTCCACCCAAGTGGACAAAGCTGTCCCCCTCCTCTCCACAAGCCCCCCAAGGCCCACCCTTCCAGACCTGTACATCACCCCTCCCCCATTTCAATCCAGTGTCCCCTCTGTCACCCCCAGACTGGGTCTTACAGTCTCTTTGGAGGACCCTCATAAGTAGCTCCTCTCCAGCCTCCTTGTCTTAAGCCGTTGCCTCCTCCCATGGGTGCCCAGTTGAAGTCTCCAGAATGAAAATCTGATCATGTGATTCCTTCCCTGGATATTCTTTTATTTTTGAGTCAGAGTCTCACTCTGTTGCTCAGGCTAGAATGCAGTGACGTGATCACAGCTCACTGCAGCCTCCAACTTCTGGGTTCAGGTGATCCTTCCACCTCAGCCTCCCAAGTAGTAGCTAGGACTACAGGCATGTGCTACCATGCCCGGCTAGCTTTTTATTTTTTTGTGGAAACGAGTCTACTATGTTGCCCAGGCTAGTCTTGAACTCCTGGAGTCAAGCAATCCTCCCACCTCGGCCTCCCAAAGTGCTGGATGACAGGCATGAGGCACCGCGCCCAGCCTGTATGTGTCTTTGATGACTTGTTCACTATATCTTCCAGTGTCAGATACAAATGGGTTTGGCTAAAGGTCATTGGTCCCTGTGCTGCTTTCCAGAGACCTGGTTTGAGTTCACCCCTCACCACGCTGGCTACCCAGCACTCAGGGCCTATGTCCCCACCACCCACTTTGGAAGCAAATTCGAGAATGGAAGACTGGTCAGTCCTGAGCCTGAGCGTGACCTGACCTTCTTGAAAGGTCAGTACTGGGGTCAAAGGGGATTGCATGGGGGCAGGAAGTGGAAGGGAGGCAGGAGTTACCTTCCTGGGGGTCTAACTCTGCTCAGCTCCCAGATTTATGGAGTGAAAGAAAAGGCCTTAGGGGCTTCCAGAAGGGGGATTGGTGTGTTCCTCTTTCTGAGTCCCCAGTGTCTGTCAAGGGTCTCCTGACTATGGCCGGTGCCCGGTGTCTTATCAATGACCCAGGAGAGTTGGCTTCCCAGGGAAGCTCAAATCCAGGCCACAGCTTCCAACAAGCAGACATGGACTATATTCGAGGGCACCAGCAAAACAAGGAGCGTATACGCTTTTTTGTTAAAAAATGGGGTCTTTCCACAAGTCTACACTAGCTTCCTAGCAGTAGGACTCAAAAGTATTCAATGGATCCCACCTTGAGCCTTGCCAGGTACCACCAACTACCCTGTCTGGTGTTTAGCAATGGCCTTCCCAAATGACTCATTGGAACTCTGAACGACTGTGGCCACCCAGTAGCTCCCTAAAGACTGGGAACTTGGCAGCCCTTATCTGAACACCTAGGCAGCCGTACCGCCGTACCATACCGCCGTCAGCTGAGGCCCCCTTCCTGTCGGCCTCTACGAGGGAAGCTAGCTGGAAAACCAAGCCCAGCCACCACTGGGAGGCAGCTCTGAAGCTTGGCAGGGGTGATCCCAGCATCACCAGCCTCTAGCACCCGCTCTAGCAACACCCCAGATTCCTACCTAGAAGGGACTTGGCCCTTTCCACTGCGGCCTCTTCACGTTCCTCCCCACCTATCACAGCAATGCTCTGGCCCGCTACTTATCCTAGTACTGAGCTGAAATACTGCACCCTGCTTGAAAGTTTTGCTCTGAGCCTTGACTCTTGGCCCCAGGGAGGCACGTTGAAAGTTCCTTCTGTTTTATTTTTATGTGAACTTCCTGTGGACCAAGTGAGACCAGGAACTCTCAGGTTCTGGAAAGATGAGACTGATTCTAGCCCTTTGAGTTCAGGATTATGTGGCGTTAGGGGGATGACTCGAGGGCCAGAAGGACCACCAGTCGTTCATTTGCCAGTTTTAGAATAGAAATCACGGGGGTAAACTGAGCTTAGTATATTATCACGTCACTCAGTCCAGTCAAGTCATTTAAATTTTCCAACCAAATCACTGTGTTTTAAACCCCAGGCTTGACAGGCATCTAAAGGTCTCTTAAGACAATAATAAGGAGTCTTGAACATCCTTACCCTTCTTTTAATGCGGCCAGGCTGATCCCTCTCACAGCCCACATCTCCTTGATATGCATGAGGGCGCACTGGGTCTGCTTTTGGATAACTGACAAGGTCTGTTTTTCCTAGAGAACTAGAAAGTTCTGGTGCCTGAGATTGAGGGCATGAGAGAAAGGGTGTCTATCCAAGTAAGAGTTCTGAATATGGGCAGCAGCCTAGAGTACCAAACCTAGTTTGTTCCTTATTCAGTGTCTATCACCAGTAGAGGGAGACTGAAAAATGTTTTTATCATTTGGTATTTCTGTGCCTGACGCACTGGAGAAACTCATGTTTTCTGACTTTTCTACTTCCTTGCCTGACTCAGACCCCACCTGGTACAGCTTTCTGTTTCTCAGCTCAAAGTGACTAGAGGGTGGATTGCCTGGTATGAGAGCAGCCCTCACTCTGGTGTGATACAAATATCTTTCTAGGCTGGGCCATGGAGGAGACAACCTGACTCCTCCTCTGCTTCTGTTACCAGGCCTCTCTGCCTTGGCACTTGATCCTCTCAGTGTTTCTGGCTGTGTTGGGTTTATTTGTGAGACTGATGTAACACTAAAGTGAAATCTTCCCCTCTGGGAACACACACATACACACACACATGCATGCATGCACGCACACACATACAACAAAACCTCATCAATTCAAGTAGTCTAGTAAGTCACATCAGAACTTAGTTCCATGTCCTTGACTGTATCTTACAAACTGGTATCACTTTTAGTTGTGGCATCATGATCTTTTCAGCACTTGGAGGTCAGAGGGTCTCACCCTGCTGGGTCAGACAGCCCCACTACATGGGACCAGCCATGTCAACTTGGGCAAGTCACTTATGTTCTCTGAGCACGTACCTCAAAGTGTGGGTGTGAAAGCTATGTGAGATCCACAAATAAAACACCCACATTTATAATTTTCTGGGGTTTTTTGGATAGCAGCCTTCCTAATGGGTATGTCGCTCTGTGTCTCTGATGACTCACTCTCCCTGTGTCTCTCCATGTCAGATCAGATACAAATGGTTTTGGCTAAAGGTCACTGACCAACCACAGTCACTTAAGGAAATGTGGGTTTAGTTTTCTATTCTTTTTTGTTTTAATTGGAGTCTTACCCTGTCACCCAGGCTGGAATGCAGTGGTGCAATCACAACTCACTGCAGCCTTGACCTCCTGGTCTCCGGCGATCCTTCCACCTCATCCTCCCAGGTAGCTGGGATTACAGGCACATTTGCCACCACCTCAGCTAACTTTTTTAATTATTATTTTTTGTAGAGACGCAGTCTCACTATGTTGTCAAGGCTGGTCTCAAACTCCTGGGCTTGAGCAATCCTCCCACCTCCACCTCCCAAAGTGCTGGGATGATGAATGTGAGCCACCATGCCTGACCTTGGGTTGAATTTTCTTACAAAAAAAAAAAAACGTGGCGGCCAACAACACTGCATTAGCTGTGCGGCATTAGGCATAAAGACCCAGGTGTATTCGGGTTTCTGTTCCTACACCCTTAGCATGTTGACAGTCACCCTTGTGCTGAACTCCTGCACTTCTCAGGATGGCTGCTGTGTCAGATGAAAACTGTTTCTCTTTAGCAGGATAGCAAGCCTTCTTCAGAAGTTCCCCCAGCAATCTGCATGGGTCAGAGCTTCACCTCCCGCTAGCTGCAAGGCAGACTGGGAAATACCATCCTTCCTGCCTGTGTACTGAGACAGGTCAATGTGGAAGGAAGCTTGGAATGCCAATCTACAGTTTCTGGCTGGCTCCACCCACAGATGACATTCCCAAGGACGGGAACCTTCTGTGTCTTGTATACTGCTCTATTCCAGCAACTAGAAGAGTTCCTGGTGTCCAAGAATTGCTTCATATATATGTGGGGTTTTTTTGTTTTTTTGAGTTGGAGTCTCATTCTGTCACCCAGACTGGAGTACAGCGCCATGCTCATGGCCATCACAGCCTCAACCTGCTGGGTTCAGACGATCCTTCCACCTCAGCCTTCAAAGTAGCTGGCACTACAGGCGTACGCCACCATGCCCGGCTAATTTTTTATTTATTGTAGAAATAAGGTCTCGCCAAATTGTCCAGGCTGGTCTCAAACCTGTAGGCTCAGGCAATCCTCTCATCTCAGCCTCCCAAAGTGCTGGGATTATAGGCGTGAGCCACTGCACCCAGCCTGTGTGTTTGTTTATTTTAATTTTTTTTTTTTTTTGAGTCAGAATTTCGCTCTTGCCCAGACTGGAGTGCAGTGGCACAATCACTGCTCACTGCAACCTCGTTCTCCTGGGCTCAGGTGATCCTACAACATCAGCCTCCCAAGTACTTGGGAATACAAGCTCCCGCTATCACATCTGGCTAATGTTTTCATTTTTATTTTTTGTAGAGACAAGGTCTCACTCTGTTGCCCAGGCTGGTCTCGAACTCCTGGGCTCAAGCAGTCTTCCCGCCTCAGCCTCCCAAAGTGCTGGGATTATGGGTATGAACACCCAGCCATAATTATTTACTGACTTCAAGAATGATCTTCCCCCCAGCGCTCTGTCATCAGTTGATGCTTTGAGTACCAAGCCTAATAGTTACTTGACGGAGTACATAATCACTGTTTAACATTTTTCTCGGCAGGTTTATGGGGAAGTGCTCTTGCCAACACTGAAGACATTAGGAAACACCTTTTGGGTACGTATTTGGAAAACAGAAGGGTCCAAGCCCAGTTATTTTATGCAAGGAAACTCACATTAAGTACACATGGCAGAGGAGAGACCTGTATGTGATTGTTCTAGCAACTGCATTTCCTAACAATTATTACCATTTATTGAGCATTTCCTATGGGCAACCAGGATTACTGCAGAACGACTAAGATTACAGAACACTTTGGAAGGAATGTTACCTGATATGTGTGGGCACTGCGATTTCTAGAAAGTTGCCTAACCTCTCTGTGTCTCAGTTTTCTGCCTCTTTAACATGGGAGTGATAACAATAGTAATAGTTACAGAGATCCAGTGAGTTAATTCCTCTAAAGCTGGGGTCTCCAAGCCCCAGGCCACAGACTGGTTCTTGTTCGTGACCTGTTAGGAACCAGGCCTCATGGCAAGAAGTGAGTGGCAGGCAAGCAATTGAAGCTTCATCAGTATTTAAAACCACTCCCTCCCTATCGCTCACATTACCACCCAAGCTCTGCTTCCTGTCAGATCAGCAGCGGCATTAGATTCTCATAGGAGCGTGAACCCTATTGTGAACTGCGCATGTGAGGGACATAGGTTACACACTCCTTATGAGTCTCTAATGCCTGACGGTCTGAGGTGGGGCTGAGGTGGTGATGCTAGTGTGGGGAGCGGCTGCAAATACAGATTAACATTAGTCATGAGGTTTGACTGCACAGAGACCATAGTAAATCAGTTGCTTGCAGACTCATGTCAAAACCCTATCAGTGAGTAGCAAGTGAGTTGACGTAACTCATTTGTACAGTTGCATCCGGTGACAGGCTTTAAGCCAGAATATGACACTCATTTTAGTATGTGCGTGGCCCACCCATTATTTTATTTACTCCTTCCATCCATTATTTTATTTACTCCTTCCATCTCTTTTTTATGGTGAGTTGTATAATCATTTCATTATATATTATAGCATAATAATAATAGAAATAAAGTACACAATAAGCATTATGTGCTTGAATCATTACAAATCCACTCTCGGCCCCCGGTCTGTGAATGGGAATGTGGTTTTGTCTTCCACAAAACCAATCCCTGATGCCAAAAAGGTTGGGGACCACTGCTCTAAAGTACATAGGACAGTGCCTGTTAGATAAAAGCACTTGATAAATATTCGCAATTGCTATCTGTTCTATCATTTAAACCTTGCAGTAGCCCTGAGAAGCTGGTGCTTTTATCCCTTCCATTTTGCTGAGATCTTCTGTGTCACAAGAAGAGAGTATGACTTGCCTACATTAGTGGTCAGCGAGTATAGATGCAGGGATCAATTCAGCAGTGGAATAGTGCAGCGGCTCACATCCAAAGCCTGTCTGCCTGGATCCCTGTCCCAGCTCTGCCTCTTACAGTGACCCTAGCAAGCTGCTTAAATGCTCTCTGATCTAACTTCTCCTTCATAAAATGGAGAGAATAGTATATAGTCCCAATCTCATATATTAGATGTGAGACTTAAATGGCCCAATATATGAGGGGGAACCCCCCCAAAAAAACAGAATTATCTTTTGGAGGGTGGGCCCCTTGTGGTACAGGCTTCTCCATTAGGTAGGTGTTCTAGGAACCCGTCGGCATCAGCGTACCAGCTAGCATTGTTGGGAGAGGCTGCGTTTGGCTTCAATGATTTTTTAAAAATATTCTTTCACTGCATTTGCCTGTTTCATTATGGGTGATTTGTGAGCGCACCTGCCCATGCTGCACTGAATGTCCAGCAGTTTTTGACCAAAAACAGCATGACCCCCCCACCCCACCCTCCCTATTCACCCAATCTCACCCCAAGTGACTTCTTTTTTGTTTTCCTGGGTGAAAAAAAGTCCTCAAAGGGAAACGTTTTGCCAGTGTGGAAGGGGTAAAACAAAACCCAGCAGAAGCACTAAAAGGGCTCAACGTTGACAAGTTCAGAAACTGAGCAGTGAAAAAAGCATCTCAGTAGGTGTATTGCATCAAATGGAGCGTACTTTGAAGGTTACTGAAGTTTAAACACGTAAGAAATAAATACACAATTTTTTATAAATAATTTTCATTTTTGGGATTCCCCCCATATATAAAGTGCTTAGAACAAAGCCTGACACATAGGATTGTTTCATCAAATGTTAATATTCTTCTTATTATCAATAAATGTTCACACCCTTAAGCACTCATTATTTACTTAACACATATCATGGCACCTACTGCTCCAGGCTCTGTACTAAGTCTTGCCCTTTAATGTTCTTTGACAGAAGTGTTCAGCATACGTCAGTTAAAGACATGTCTAAGAAAAGAGAATCTGTCTATCTCCACCCTCCAAACAGCTAACTAAAGTTGTGGGATGGGTCTGAGTTTCACTTCTCTAGTGGGTGTACTAAGCTTGCTGTCTGAAAAAAAGAAAAGTCCTGATTTATAGTGTTTGCCAATTTCTGTGGTGTAAATGTTCCCACTATGGGCCAATTTCAAGTTACCAATGTGAGGTCACAGAGCACAGAGTTGAAAGAGAGGTGCAAGATCCGTCTTGAAAGCCACTTCCACTCATCACTGCCACTTCTGTTAAAGAGATATCCCTGAAGGTAACCTGTATTTGCTTTAAAAATAGTTGACACTATAGCTAGTGACTTTATTGTACATATAAACATTCCCCTGCCTCTGCTCTTTTGCAGCCCAGTTATTGAGCCTGAAAGAAAATTTGAAAATGAAATGCCTATCCTCAGAAGGTAGGCATCCCATGTTGTCATGGATCACCAATGGTAATGTGAACTGAACACTTGCTTAAAATCAGTCATTGTCCTAGGAACTCTACACGGTCAGCTGCTGGGTGCTCAACAGCTATTGGGTGCTCATCACCACCCTACAAAGTACTGTTATTATCTCAACTGTTTCTGTTGAAATTGAGAGGCACATGGGCTCAGTGATGTGCCCAAGGTCACACAGCCAGGAGGTGGCAGAATTGGGGCCCAAACGGACACACTGTGACTATAGTACCCATGTGCACAGTCACCAGCTACACCCTGGGTATGTATAGGCTCCAAGTAATGTCAGAGGTAGAAGGTGGGAACAGCCTGAACAATTAGCAAATCGAAAAGAAAAATCCCTTCTAAAACTATGGACAAGGAGTCATGAAGGGGAAAGCCTGGAACCGTGGAGGAAGTGTAAAAGAGAACAAAAATAAAGTGTCAAACATGCTGAATGGAGAGAATAGACTGCATTCCTCAGGACAGGAGAGGCTGTACTGCACAAACAAAGAAATCTCAAATTGCTATGACTTAAGACACGAAGGCTTTCTATGTTGCTTGTCCAAAAGGCAATATGAGTTGGGTGTTCCTCCAGGGCCACTCCGCTCCACGCGGGGACTCAGATATCCAAGCTGTTTACATGTTTTTGCTCCTCATCTCGACAAAAGATCTCCTTGTTTGTTCCATGAGAGAGCTGGAGAACCTATTCTGGGCAGGCCTGGAATAACACGCACCACCCACATCCCATTGGCCAGGATCAGTCTCACAGCCCCAACCTAACTACAGGAGAGGCTGGCAGATGTGGTCTACCATGTGCATAGGAAGAAGCAAGCATGGTGAACAGAGCTTTGTTGCTGGCTCACAGGCTGACAGTTGGGTGTAGAGTGGAGGTAGGTCCGAACCACAACCCTCATCTGTTTCTGCCTCCCTACCTCTTAGTTGTGAAGGCTGCTCAGACAAAGTACCGCAGATGACTGGCTGACTTGTGAAGAGCAGAGATTTATTTCTCAGTTCTGGAGAGTCTAAGAGCATAGTACCAGCAGGGTTGGGTTCTGGGAAGAGCCCTCTGGATTGCAGTTAGTCAACTGCTTGTCACATGGGAGGCTTTAATTTTTTTTTGTTTTTGTTTTCATTTTTCTGAGTTAGAGGTCTTGCTCTTTCACCGAGGCTAGAGCACAATGGTACTATCATGGCCACCGCAGCCTCAACCTGCTGGGCTCAGATGATCCTTCCATCTCAACCTTCCAAGTATTGGAACTACAGGTGCACATTGTGACTCCTTGCTAATTTTTTGATTTGTTGTAGAGACAAGGTCTTGCCAAGTTGCTCAGACTGGTCTCAAACCCCTGGGCACAGGCAATCCTCTCGCCTCTGCCTCTCTAAGGGCTGGGATGACAGACATGAGCCACCATGCCTGGCCTAACGTTGTTCTTTGACGGTGGGGTTTGCCATTAAAGGCTTTGGTTAGAGGCAAGTCTGAAAGGAGAATCTATCTCCAGCCTCCACATGGCTAACTGAAGTTGTAGGATGTGTCTGGTTTCGCTTCTCTAGTGGGTGTGCTAAGCTGACTCTTGTGGGGAAGTTTTTGATTTGTAGTGTTGGTCAGTTTCTATGGTGTAAATATTCCCGAACTTCTTCTCACATGATAGAGAGAAGGCAAGAGAGCTCTCTGGAGTTCTTTTTCTGAAGGCACTAATTCCAGCCAGGTGTGATGGCTCGTGCCTGTCATCCTAGCACTTTGGGAAGCTGAGACCAAAGGATGGTTGTTGTTGTGCCACTGCATTCCAGCCTGGACAACCGAGTGAGACCCCAACTCAAAAAAGGAAAAAAAATAAGGGCACCAATTTCCCTCATGACCTGATCACCTCCCAAAGGCCCCCTCTACTAATACCATCCCATGGGGGTTAGGATTTCAGCATGAGTTTGGGGGGCACACAGACATCCAGTCCGTGGCACCCTGCCCTGTCCCCCTTACACACTCTGCTTTAACACACCCCTTCTCACTGATCTTCAGCCATACCTCAGGGCCTTTGCACTGTCGTACACATATACACACACGTATACATATATATATAGATGCAGATATAGAAAATATACAAGGGGAACCCCCAAAACACAGGAACTATCTTTTGGAGGGCAGGCCCCTTTTAGGACAGGCTTCCTCCACTAGGTCAGTGTTCTAGGAACCCATTGGCATCAGTGTACCAGCCAGCGTTGTCATGAGAGGATGCATTTGGCTTCAGTGCATTTGGTTTCAGTGCATTTTTTTTTTTTTTTATTCTTTCAGCACATTTGCCCGTTTCATAATGGATGATTTATGAGTGTACCCACCCACACCACACTGAGTGCTCAGCAGTTTTGACCAGAAATGGCAAAACTGTCCCCACCCTCCCTATTCACCCAATCTCACTCAAGGGGCTTTTGTTTGTTTGTTTCCCGGATGAGAAACGTCCTCCAAGGGAAATGTTTTGCCAAAGTGGAAGAAGTGAAACAAAAACAGCAGAAGCACTCAGGTCAAAGTGGACGAGTTCAGAAACTGGCTTGAGCAGTGGAAAAAGTGTCTCAGTAGGTGTATGGCATCAAATAGAGAGTACTTTGAAGGTAACTAAAGTTTAAACATGGAAGAATAAATACATAAATTTTTAAAAATAAATTCCAGGTTTTTTGGGTCCCCCTCATATGTGTAGTTAAAAAACTATAATATATGGTTATTATGTAATACATGTAAATATTGTTATTATGTATGAGAATAGATTATATTATGCATATATTATAGTTATAGTTTATATACTATTAATATGATATATTGTATAATCATAGTATATTATACATAGTTGTGTTGCATTATTTTTATTATGTATTATATAGCATACAGTTTAGGGAGTTGATAGAAGGCAAAGAAAGGCAAATTCTTTTTTTTTTTTGAGTTGGAGACTCACTCCATCGTCCAGGCTAGAGTACTGTGGCACACTCACGGCCATCCCAACATCAACCTGCTGGACTCTAGCGATCCTTCCACCTCAGCCTTCCAAGTAGCCAGAACTACAGGTGTGTGCTACAATGCCCAGCTAACTTTTCTTTACTTATTGTAGAGACAGTGTCTCACTATGTTCCCCAGGCTGGTCTCAAACCTCATGGCTCAGGCAATCCTCTCCTCTTAGCCTCCCAAAGTGCTGGGGATGACAACCCTGAGCCACTGCACCCAGCAAGGCAAATTCTAAAGGAAAATTCTTCCACCAATTCCTTGAAACTATTTATGTAATAAAATATAAAATAAATGATATATAAACTATACATTGTACATATTAGACATATTAGGACATAATTTACCATCGTAAATAATAGACTATACATATAAAATAAACTATATCTATTATATACACTTATCCCTTAGTGTCTGTGGGGGATTCGATCCAGGACCTCATGGATACCAAGACTCAAGGATACTCAAGTCCCTGATATAAAATGGTGTAGTATTTGCCTGCACTATTAAATCATCTGACATAACTTAGAATACCTAATACAATGTAAGTGCTATGTACATAGTTATATTTAGGGAATAAGGACGAGGGTCTCACCAAGTTGCTGACCTCGAATTCCTGGTCTCATGCAATCCTTCCACCACAGCCTCCCAAAGTGCTGAGGTTACAAGCGGGAGCCACTGCACCCAGCCCTAGTTGCATCATTTTTAAACCACTAAGCTTGTGGCTGTCTGTTTCAGCAGCAACAGGAACCTAATACAGAACACCTTAGTTTCCCCATCTCTGAAATGGACTCGACCAAATTCATGTTGTGATGTGACAATAAATGTTAAGCCTATAGGACTTTTATGCCCTTAAAACTTGGCACAAACAAGCATCAAATACACTTTACCTATTGTGATTATTAATATGTGGTGAGAATGTTCACAGGAAGAGGTCACACCTGGTCAGGGAGGTCAAGACAGGATTCCCTGAAGAAGTATGCCAAAAGCCCAAATGCCACCCAGATAAAGAAGAGGGTGATGCAAGAAAAATAGCATGTACAAAGGCCCAGAGGCAAGAACAAGCTGTCACATTTAAGGAACTGGTAACAGTCACTGAGGTTGGGTGGAGGCCTAGGATTAGATCTCTGGTGGACTGGAAAGCCCAGGTCAAAAGGGCTTTGAAAGTCTTTTGCAGCCTGAACTGTGATGGGCGGGAAACTACTTTTGTGTGAAATATATATTACATAACACTGATCATTTTAACTATCTGTAAGCATATAGTCTAGTATCATTAAGTATATTCACTATTCTGTGGACCTGCTAGCTGTCTCAAACTTTTTACCACCTCCAACACAAACCGTACTCGTTAAGCAGAAGATGTCCTTCCCTGTTCCTGCAACCCCTGGTCACTTTTACTCTGTTTTCTGTCTCTGGATTTGCCTATTCTGGGTACCTCGTATGCAGCGGACTGAATGCTTATGGCTCCCCCAAATTCATATGTTGAAATATGAACCCCCAAGGTGATGGTATTAAGAGATAGGGGGTCAGTCACTATGTCTCACGCCTGTAATCCCAGCACTTCAGGAGGCCAAGGTTGGAGGATTGCTTGAGCCTAGGAGTTTGAGACCAGCCTGGGCAACATAGTGAGACCTCTACCCTACCCAAAAAAAAGAAATGAGCTAAGTATGGGGGCATGTGCCTGTAATCCCAGCTACTCAGGACGCCAAGGCAGGAGGATCAACTAAGCCCAGGAGGTCGAGGCTGCAATGAACCATGATTGTGCCACTGCACTCTAGCCTGGGCAACAGAGGGAGACCCTGATTCAAAAAAAAGAGGGAGAGAGAGAGATAGGACTTTGGGAGTTGCTTAGATCATGAGGGTGGAGCCCTCATGATTAGGAATGGAGAGAGCTAACTAGTCCCTTCGGTCAGGTGAGGACACAGCAGGAAGGTACTGAACTAGAGAGCAGGCCCTTACCAGACACAGAATCTGCTGATACCGTGATCTTGAACCTGGCAGCCTCCACAACTTGAGAAGTACATTTCTGTTATTTATAAGCGATCCAGCCTATGGTATTCTGTTACAGCAGCCCAAGGGGACTAAACCCTCGCATAAGTGGAATTGTGCCATGATTGTCTTTGTGTGTCTGACTGCTTTCACTAAGCATGATGTTTTCAGGGCCCATCCATGTTGTAGCAGGTACTGACATTTCATTCCCTTATATGGCTGAATAGTGTTTCATTGTATGGATCTACCATATTTTGTTCCTCCATTCATCTGTTGATGGATATTTGGATAGTTTCTGCCTTTTGGTTATTGTGAATTGTACTGCTATGAACGTTGGTCATAGGACGCTCTTTGACAGATGGAGTAACTGAGGAGTGAAGTAACTGTGTTTGAGGTTACATCATTAATGGGGGGGACACGGGGGGCAAAGTCAGGACAGGATCCTAGGTGAGAGCTAGACCTCCTCGTGGGAAACCCACCATACCGATGCCGGGATGATGGATAAACTGCTCAAACAATCCTGCCCAGATCACGATGGCTGCAGCTTGGGGTGAGGGCAGGTGCTCACGGTCTCGGGTTGTGTTCCCCAGAAACAAACGGAAGGGAGTGAGGCAGGAGGAGAAGCCAGGCAGAGGTGGGGTCTCGGGTGAGGTCTCAGCCTGATCCCAAGCATCCCGCCCGAAGCAAGGGAATCGGGCCCACTCCCCACACACGTCAGCCATGGGCTAAGGGTGGGGAAGAACGTCCACTTTCAGGCACCACCCATGCGGTGAGGCCCCTCCGTGAACTGCGGGAAGGAGCACACAGGCTGGGTGAGGATGCACGGCATGGTCAAGGGTCCCCAGGGGATTTGGGCGGGGGACAGTGATGGTGTTCACATGCCCTCGTGGGTGAGTGTTTCTGTCTCTGAGCAGGGACAGCTGTGGAAGAAGCTCTCCTGGACCTGGTGGTGGCTTACATAGGAGATGGGGGCGCCAGCAGCACCCAGGAGCAGCTACAGGCCGTGCAGCAGAAGCTGGACTCTGAGAGGAGGAGTGGTCTGTGCACCAGAGCATGCTGGGAAACTTGGTGTGGGGCGGGGGAGGCGTGGGGGGAGAAGGACAGGGGAGGCAGGGCTGAGATCCCAGCAGATGGAAAGGAAAAGACTTGTTTTTCTCCTTCACCCTCTCAGGGGAAAGTGACAGCCTACAGTGGCCAGACAGGAAATGTAAATCGACTCAATGAAGAAGGCTGGGGCAACAGGGAGTGGAAGGGACTGAGGAAAACTAATGGGGCAGTCAGTTACTCCAACTGACTGTTGCCATTTGGAAGGAGAGTCCCTTGCTTCTAGACGGTAACAACATGAGCAAGGGTACCACTGGTGCCAGGCACTGTTCTGCATATCTTTCACACACGCTGTATTTGGTCTTTACAACTGCCCTGTGATGTAGGCACTCATGATAGCCCTGTTGTTCAGGTGATGAAACTGAGGCACAGAGAGGTTGAGTAACTTGCCCAAGGTCACACAGCTCATAAACATCTGTTCAGGCATTTGAACCCAGCACTCTGGCTCCAGTGTACAAAACAAATCTTCCTCTTTTTTTTTTTTCTTTTCTTTTTTTTTTTTTTGGAGTCTGGGTCTTACTCTTTCAATGGAGTTCAGGGGCAGCCTCAACCTCCTGGTCTCAGGCAATCCTCCGACCTCAGCTTCCTGAGTAGCTTAAGAAGTGTGCCACCACACCCAGTTAATTTTATTTTTATTTTTTTCTGTAGAGATGAGGTCTTACTCTGTTGCCCAGGTTGGTCTCAAACTTCTGGGCTCCAGCAATCCTCCCACCTCAGCCTCCCAGAGTACTGGGATTACAGCAAAATCTGACTATTTGTAAGTGCCGTTAACTAATTCATATTTGGTTTAGGGCATGGTGTGAGCTGACCATGTTTGGGAACAGGATTACTGCTGGTTGCTACAGGACATCCCTCCAGGATAGAGCGGCATCCCAGCTATACCACTTCCTAGCTGTGTGACCTTGGGCAAGTGACTTCACCTCTCTGTGCCTCTGTATTCCTCATCAGTATAATGGGGATGATCCCAGGTTCCTCCTTACAGGAAGGTTGAAGGATAGAATTCATGGAAAATGCTCAGAGGTGGGCCTGGTATTTGATAAATGCCTGGTAAATGTGAGCAGAGTCATTTTCTGGCTGTGAGAGAGTTGAGCATCTAATACGTGGTTGTGGATAAAAGTAGAGGAGGAGGCCAAGTGCAGTGGCTCAGGCCTGTGATCCCAGCACTTTGGGAGGCCAAGGTGAGAGGATTGCCTGAGCCTGTGGGTTTGAGACCAGCCTGGGCAACATGGTAAGATCTCATCTCTACAATAAATCAGAAGACTGTGGTTCCAGCACTTGGAAGGGTGAGGCAGAAGGATCACCTGAGCCCAGCAGGTTGAGGCTGCGGTGGCCATGAGCGTGCTACTGCACTCCAGCCTGGGCAACAGAGTGAGACCCCGACTCAAAAAAAAAAAGGAAAGTAGAAGAGGAGAGAGCACAGAAGCGAACCCCAAGATCAGCATGTAAGGGGTAGGTAGAGGCAGAGAAACAGGCAAAGGAGACAGAAGACTGGAAAGTAGGGGACAGTGAGGTGGCATTGGGGTCATCACCGGGCAAGGGGACAGAAGGTTACCTGGAAAAGGCATCAGCACAAGGGGAGCTACTGGGTGTCACAGGATGGGACAGGGTCTGCGGGTGGTTCTTGGCAGGGGACACAGATGCTACCTGAGACCACCTGGTTTCTTGGGGCAGGTAAAGACAGTGAGCCAGAGCACACCTGGCTAGCTGAGGTGCTCCAGAATTGGAACAAGTTTTCCCCAGAAGAGCAGGGGCGGTTCCTGGAGTACCTGGTATATTGCTTCACACGACGAGAAAGTGCCATGTACTATACGATGAGTGTGATCAGTGGTAAGTGCAATGCCACCAGCCTTCTCCCTCTTCTCACTCACCCGCACCCTTGTGGGCCAGTCATGCAGGTGGCAGCTATAGGGGGTGACCAGATGTCCCACCCCCATCCATCCGTTTGCTCCATCCATCTACCCACCCACCCACCTATGCCTCTATCCACCCACCCATCCATCCAACCAGCTACCCATCCACCCACTCACCCATCCACTCACCCACCCATCCATCCATCCATCTACCCACCCACCCATCCACCCACCCATCCATCTGGCCCAAACACCTTTTCCTGACCTAATGACCCCATATTGGTCAGCTCAGGCTGGTAACAAAAGGCCACAGGCTGGGTGGCTTCAACAGCAGACTTATTTTCTCACAGTTCTCGTTAGGCTGGAGGTCCAAGAACAAGGTGCCAGGGAGTTGGCCTCTCCATGTCTTGCAGATGGATGGCCCCCTTCTCACTGAATCCATGGTGGCCTTTCCTGTAGACATGCAGACTCCCAGTGTCTCTTCCTCTTCTTGGAAGGATGAGTGTCCTATGGGATGAGAGCCTCGCCTTCATGGCTTCATGTGGCCTTCATGACCTCCTCAAAGGCCCCGTCTCCAAATGCAGTCATGTTGAGGGTCAGGGCTTCAACACAGGAGTGTGGTGGGGGGACACAATTCAGTCTGCCGCACTCACCTTGGCTCTCTCGGCTTCTCCCTCTAGACTCACCCAAGGACTTTCTAGATTTTCTGAATAAAACTGGAGTGTGCTGTTGGAAGTGGGAATGGGGCACCGTTTACAACTTCCTGTACAAACATGGTGAGAAGGCTCCTCCCCCATCACCCTGGTCCATCCACCAATGGGGATGAGGGGTGAGGAGACACAAAAAAACGCTCTCAGCCCAGTCCCTTCACCAGAGTCTTGGGAACTGGTCAACAAGGCACCCGAGGGTCTGAATGGAGGATCATTCACTTTGGCTGTGGCTCATAGTAAAAGGTGTGTGGCCTTGTTGGCATGAGTTCAAGGCATCATGAAACGCCCAGGCCCTGAAAAGTCAGGGGTTTTCTCTGCCTCTGAAAAAAATGCAAAATACCCAAATTATTTGCCCTGGGAGCTGGTCTTAAAAAGCACTTGTGGTCGTGCACAGTGACTCACACCTGTAGTCCCACTACTTTGGGAGGCTGAAATGGGATGATTGCTTGAGCCCGGAGTTTGAGACCAGCCTGGACCACATCGCAAGACCATTGTCTCTACACAAAATAAAAATAAATAAGCAGGTGGCACGTGTCTGTAGTTCCAGCTACTTGGGAGGCTGAGACGGAAGGATCGCCTGAGCCCAGGAAGTCAAGGCTGCCATGAGCCAGGATTGTGCCACTGCACTCCAGTGGCACTGCACTCCAGTGGCAACCAAATGAGACCCCAACTCAAAACAAACAAAAAACACACCACTTGTATAGATTTTCCTCTCGTGGGACTGACCCCAATCATTTGTGTGAAATTGGCATCCGCCTCTTGGGTACCCTCACTAAGACCACTCAATAACGTCCATAAACCTCAGTGACTGTGGCTGATGCCAATCCTCTCCCAAGGCCATGCCAATCTCTGCACATCTTCCATATTCCACTGTTTTATGACACTACAGTGAGCACTCTGTGTTTGGGGTAGCCTTTTGGGTTGATTACACCTGATTTCATACCCCAACTCGGCCACTAACCAGCTTTGTGGCCTGATACAACTGTTAACTAATGTGCACCTTGGTTTCCTGTTGCCCTTGTGTGAATCGGAAAACAGGGCATCCCTGAAAGGATGAGTTCCAAAATGTGCTGTGACCTGGGAAGGGAATCCCGGCCAGATGTCAGTCCCCACTCACGTCTCCTTGGGCACTTCCTGTAGGGCACAGGGGCTTCAGCTCTGAGCACAATGACACTCATCTATTGATCTTTTTTGAGGCGTCAGGGTCTCATTCTGTTGCCCAGGCTAGAGTGCAGAGGCACTGTCATGGCTCACCACAGCCTCAACCTCCTAGGCTCAGTCAATCCTTCCACCTCAGCTTCCCAAGTAATTGGGACTATAGGCGTATACCACCATACCAGTATAATTTTTTTATATTTTGTAGAGATAAGGTCTCACTATGTTGCCCAGGCTGATCCTGAACCCCTGGGCTTAATCAATCCTCCTACCTTGGCCTCCCAAAGTGCTGGGATTATGGGCATGAGCCACCATGCCTGGCCTTGTCTGGCGATCTTAATGGCCTCAGCATACACCGTCAGGTGTGGAGTCATGATGCTGGGGATGAGTGTTTTAGCATCAACATCAACTTTCTCTCCAAAGCAGTTAGATGAAGTTGCTTTCCCAGCAGCAATATATGAGAGACGCCATTCCCACAGGCACTGTGTTAGGCCCTGCCAGGGCTGTCCTAACAAAAGACCAAAGACTGGGTGGCATAAACAACAGATATTTCTTTTCTCATAGTTCTAGATGTTAGAAGTCCAAAGTCAAGATGTCAGTGGGGTTGGTTCCTTGTAAAGCCTCTCTTGGTGGTTACAGATGACCACCATTCCGCTGTGTCCTCACATGGTCATCCCTTTGTGTGTATCTGGGTCCTAATCTCTTCTTAGAAGGACATCAGTCATCACCAGGTGCAGTGGTGAGAGAATTGCCTGAGCCCATGGGTTCAAGACCAGCTTAGGCAACTTGGTGAGACCTTGTCTCTACAGTAAATCTAAAAATTAGCCAAGCATAGTGGTTCATGCCTGTAGTTCAAGCTACCTGAAAGACTAAGGCAGAAGAATCACCTGAGCCCAGTACGATGAGGCTGTGGTGGCCATGAGCATGCTACTGCGCTCCAGCCTGGGTGGCAGAGTGAGACTCCTTTTCAAAAAAAAAGGACACCAGTCATCTTTAATGGGCACCCACCCTAAGACCCTATTTTACCTTAGTTATCTCTTTAAAGATCCATTTCCAGGACTGTGTGATGGCTCACACCTGTAATCCCAGCACTTTGGGAGGCTGGGGTAAGAGGATCACTTGAACTCAGGAGTTCTAGACCAGCTTGGACAACATAGCGAGACCCTATCTCTACAATAAATAAATAAATAAATATTTTAATATGAAAAATTAGCCAGGTGTGGTGGTGCATGCCTGTATTCCCAGCTTCTCGGGAGACTGAGGTGGGAGGATGACCTGAGCCCAGGAGATGGAGACTGCAGTGAGCTGTGATCGTACCACTGCACTCCTGCCTGCATGCCAGAGACCCCCAACTCAAAAATAAATAAAGATCTGTTTCCAAATACAGTCACTCTGAGGCACTAGGAATTAGGACTTCAACATGAATCTGGGGGAGGGGACGCTAGACTCCCCATAACGGGCAGCCTCACCACTGCTGACAACCACTGTTCTTTCCACTGTTCCCCCCTTGTGTACAAGTCTGGCTTTCAGTCACAGGAAGTGACTCACCGGCTCCCTTCCCTACCCCGAAGGTGCCATCCAGGACAAGGGGATGTGCAGCCGGGAGCTCCTCCACCTGGTGGACGCGGGCTTTGCCATCAACACCCCCTACCCGCTTGTTCTGCCCCCCACGCGGGAGGTTCAGCTCATCCTCTCCTTCGACTTCAGCGCCGGGGACCCTTTCGAGGTAACCGAGAGGGGTCCCTGGGGTGAGCCTGGGTGGATGCGGGCTGGGGGTTGGGAAAGCAAGGTATCCTCACCCACAGCTCCTGGAGAACCCACAGTTAGGCCACACCCAGTAAGGAGGTAGAAAGAGCAGGGTCTTGGGAGGCTCTTTGGGCCAAATCTTCCAAAACCAACCCAGACTGTCCTGGATCCCCTTCCTGGCAGATGGCTCTGCCCCTTTCTGGGCCCTGCCTGCCCACCCCTACCAGTTTGGCCTGTAACAGGATAACTCCTCACCTGTGTGCCTCCTCCCCAGATGTGCAGGCCTCCAGCCCCGAGGGGGGTTTCTTCCTACTCGTCTGGGCCTCCTGGGGTCTGGCAAACAGTGGTTCTCAATAAGCATTAGCACCAGGCACAGTAGTTCACACCTGTCATCCCAGCACTTTGGGAGGCTGAGGTGAGAGGATTGCCTGAGCCCAGGGATTCGAGACCACCCTGGGCAACTTGGCGAGACCTCGTCTCTACAATAAATCAAAAAATCAGCCGGCCATGGTGGCGCATGTCTGTAGCCTCAGCTACTTGGAAAGCCAAGGTGGTAAGATTGCCTGAGCCCAGGAGGTTGAGACTGTGGTAGCCATGGTCTTGCCACTGCACCACAACCTGGGCAGCAGAGTAAGACTCTGACTAAAAAAAAAAAAAAGTTTACCAAGTAAGTAGAAACATGGGTACATTTGTCCTTGATACAGACTATGCCTTCACAGTTGCTGACCTGGCTTCATACCCCAGTTCTGCCTCTCACCAGCTGTGTGGCCTATTGCGACTTACTTAACTAATGTGTACCTTGGTTTCCTCAACTGTAAAATAAAGCTAATGATAGCTTCTCTTGGGAGTTGTTATGCAGATTAATAGTACTTGTTAATACTTGTAAAGTTCTTAGCACAGTACTTGCCACTTAGTATGGGCTGATAAATACTTTCTTTAAAGATATATACACATATAGCCAGGCACAGTGACTCATGCCTATAATCCCATCACTTTGAGAGTCTGAGGCAGGAGGATCACTGGAGCCCAGGAGTTTCAGACCAGCCTGGGCAACATAGGGAAACCCCCACCTCTACAAAAAATCCACACACACAAAAACTATCCAGGTGTGGTGGCATGTACCTGTAGTCTCAGCTACTCGGATCACTGAGCCCAGGAGGTTGAGGCCACAATGAGCTGTGATTGTGCCACTGCACTCCAGCCTGGGCAGTAGAGTGAGACCCAGACTATAAATTAAATAAACAAACAAATAAAGTTCCTGGGACATACTGAATTTTTCTATCATGCAACTGTGAGGAACCTTCACAATACTTATGCTTCATATGTAGAAAGGTGTTAGAGTCAGATAGTCGATTCAATATAAAATACTAAGAAACACTTCTGGTTTCTTGGTGAGGTTGAGACTGCTTCTCCTTTTGCTAATGAATGATTTTTAGCTGTAATATCACTGATCTGTACAAATAAGCCACCTTTGAATATATAAGAAAAAAAAGCACGTGAAGTAGGGAAAACCTTGTTATTGCATCTTTCCTAGACTCCAGAAGCTTCCAGACTTAAAGTATGCTTACATGAACTGTAAGAAAAAAATAAAGGAGAAATTCTTTTTTGAGATCACCACTGTGAAGTCATGTGGTTGTACAGATTCTGCATTTGTGTGCAGAACATGGAACGCATTTATTTTATCCTCCCTGCTTAGTAAGCAGAACCTTTTCTATTTTTTGTAGCGGTGAGGTCTCACTATATTGCCCAGGCTGGTCTCAAACTCCTGGGTTCAAGCAGTTCTCCCACCTTGGCCTCCCAAAGTGCTGGGATTACAGGCATGAGCCACTGCACCCAGCCTAAAATTTATTTTTAAAGTTAATCTTGCCTGTTTTGCGTTCTTCAAATGCAGTGACTAGATGCTTGGAGAGTACCTACGTGGCTGACGTTATATTTTGATCAGACAGCAGGTTCAGAGAACATCTAACTTGTCCGCTGTGTCCCCTTTGCAGAGGTGATGAGATGGCTTGTGCCACACAGCTCTTAGAAGCAGTGCTGGAATTTAAACCAGCTTGGCACCCTTTTCCTCACCCTCCAAGTCCCCAGCCCCTAAGGTTACTCTCAAACCTTGTGGACACTATGGCCGTTGTCTCCAACTGGGCTGGGGAGTGGGAGTGGGCGGCGGCGGGGGTGCCTAGTCCCGTAGAGAAAGTGTCGCCCACGTCCAAGCTGAGTCCGACTCTGCCGTGTGTCTGGGCTCTCAGCTGAGGTTCCAATGGACCTCCAGGCTCCAGGGTTATTCTGGACCATCCTTGAGACAGGTCCCATTGCCTCCTTCTCAGACCCTCAGGGCTACCGCGGACTACTGCTGCCACCACAAGATCCCCTTCCCCTCAGTGGAAGAGGCTGAGCTGGAGGAGTGGTCCAGGGCCCCCGCTGACTGCTACATCCTGAAAGGGGAAACCGGCCCTGTCGTGATGCATTTTCCCCTGTTCAACACACAAGCCTGTGGAGGTAGGTGCAGAGGCAGGAGCAGGGTGCAGGGCCGCCAGGCCGGATGGAGCTACGATGTGCCCTGGGGACATCTTGCCTACCCACCCACTGTTGATGGTTGAGTCATCCTGCCCAGCCTTCAGCCTCAGAGTGCTGTGCTCCGTGTTGGTTGCTCATTCATATTGCCACCTCTCTGGGACATGCTTGTCCTACCTGAATATCCATTCCCTTCCTCCGGGCATCCCACCTCCATCATCCAGAAGGGGTGGTCCTCCAGGGCTAATCCTACAGCTTCCCACACCAAGTCCATGGACCTCTGACCATCATGCTCCTGGAATGAGGGTCCCCTTAGGGGATAGAACACCTCTGTCTTCCCTCATTTAACAAACACGGATTGGTCACCTACATTGTGTCAGCCATTGTTCTTGGCAGTGCGGGCTAGAATGGAGAATAAGACAGATTCCTCCTGTAGGCATCATGCAGGTGGGGGCATAGAGCATAAAAATATAGATATGTTCATAACCCAATGATCCAATCAAACTTTATTATTGTTCTTGAGTTGGGATCTCACTCTGTTGCCCAAGCTGGAGTGCAGCGGCTCAATCAAGGCTCACCACAGCCTTGACCCCCTGAGCTCAGGCAATCCTCCCTCCTCAGCCTCCCAAATAGCTGGTACTACAGGTACATGCCACTATACCCAACTAGTTTTGTTTATTTTTTATAGAGATGAGGTCTCACTATGTTGCCCGGGCTAGTCTTGAACTCCTGGCCTCAAGAGGTCTTCCCTCCTCAGCCTCCTAAAGTGCTGGGATTACAGGCGTGAGCCACTGCACCCAACCTCCAATCAAACTTTATTTACAGAGCCAGGTGGTGGGCCGGCCGGATTTAGTCCAAACCTGTAGTTTCCCACCCCCTGGCATAGCCAAATCGGTAGAATGAATTGTCCAAACTCACAATGCATTTTCCTTATTGGTTTAATTACGTTTCAGATGAAATCCAGGCCTGGAGTGACAGGTACAGCACTTTCAGACTCACTGACAGCTACACCCTAGACTTGGTGATGTCACTCCTGGAAGTCTCCAAGAAGAACGTCAGGAGGAACAAGGAGAAGATCCTCAGAGAGATGAGGAGCGTGGCCAGGTGGGTAGAAGGCCAGTCACTCTGAGCCCTGCATCCATGCTGTCAGTCTTTGTTGGAGAACTTTCTCTGTGTCAGGCTCGAGGGCTTCACCACAACGGACAGATTCTCCTTGCCTGAGCTTGGGTTTCTGCAGGGGAGATCAACGCAGCAGTGACAGGGAGGGAGCAGTTTTCTGAAGAGGAACGAAGCAGGGTGCATTAGCTTGCCAGGGCTGCTATACCAATGTGCCACCGACTGGGTAGCTTGAACAATGGAGATTGATTGTCTCCCAGTTGCAGAGCTCAGAGTGCAGATCAGGCCATCATCAGGGCTGACTCTTCCTGAGGGCTGGGAGGGAGCTGCTTCCAGGCGCCTCCCCTTAGCTTGGAGACCACATCTTCTCTGTGTCTTTCCTCTCTGTGTCTGTTTCCAAATTTTCCCTCTTCATAAGGACACTGGTCATACTGGCCTAAGGTCCAGCTTAATGGCCTCATTTTGACTTGGTTGCTTCCATAAAGACCCTGTATCCAAATAAGGCCATGTTCTGAGATGTAGGAGTTAGGACCTCTATAGGAATTTGGTAGTGGGGGGACGTGGCTCAACCCGTAAGACAGGGTTAGCAGAGAGATCCAGGTGGGGCTATTTAAGCTAGGTGTCCAGGTCAGACCTTCCAAGGACTCCCACTAGAGCAAGGATCTGAATGAGTTAAGAGGTAACCAAACACTCTCTGCCCGGGAGCCAAGGATCTCTGTGGGGACAGCATGTGTCAAATCCAGAGGTGGGGATAAGAAAGGGGTAGAAGCAGGGAGCTCAGACACTGTACTTGTTTCCCATGGCTGCTGTAAGAGAGTACCACGAACTTAGTGACAAAAAAGAAAAAGCCCACAGATTTAACATCTTATAGTTCCTGGAAGTCAGAATTCTGCAATGAGCCTTAGGGACCAAAACCAAAGTGCTAGTGTCACGGTCTGAGTATGTACTCGGCTGCTATCTCTCAACACCAGAAAATCGAGAGGCAGGGAACTGACAGAAAGAAGTTTATTTCTGAATTCAGAATTTAGGGAGATACAACCTGGCTCCTGTTATTTCTGGATCCAATCTGCTTGCCTCTTAAGTTCCTCAGTCCATTTTTATAAATTTAGGCTTGCTGCTATCTATACATTGACTACATGACTAACAGAGTATCGTGTAGAACTTAAAGTTATGGGCATTTTTAAAAATTTTTTTTTGAGTTGGAGTCTCACTCTGTCGCCCAGACTGGAGTACAGTGGCCGCTCCCGGCCACCACAGCCTCAACCTGCTGGGCTCCGCCGATCCTTCCACCTCAGCCTTCCAAGTAGCTGGAACTACAGGCGCATACTACCATGCCCGGCTCATTTTTTTTATTTATTGTAGAGATGAGGTCTCGCCAAGTTGCCCAGGCAGGTCTCGAACCCACGGTCTCAGGCAATCCACTCCCCTCAGCCTCCCAAAGGCGCAGGATTACAGGCTGAGCCGCCGAGCCCGGCAGTAACGTTTTCATGGTCCACATTTCCTGGCTTCAGCTACTGAAAGGTAGCTCATGGTGTTATCAGTCACACCCCACTGAGGAGTTGATTGAGCTTGCCATAGAGTAAGGGGGTTAGCAGAGCCTATTACAAAGTAAGACATTATTTACTACAACATACTGTTGATTAGCAGTTACAACACGTAAAAGTTATATAAATCACAAGACTTATGGCTCCATGAGTGCTATTTTCAAATCTTCAACCCTTCTTTAAGGGTTGTGGTGATATGGACAGACGCTAGTGGGTTTCCCGTCACTAACAGAGCTGGTTCCTGTGGAGGGTCCATGGGAGATGCTGTCCCTTGCCGTCTTCAGCTTCTGGAGGCTGCCTTGTGTCCCCTAGCTGGTGGCCCTCCTCCAGCCTCCTGCTCTGTCCTCCCGCCTCCTACTCCTCCATACTCTGACCTCCTGCCTCCCTCTTGTGAGGAAGGACACAAGTGATCTCATTGAGCCCACCTAGATACCCAGAATCCTCTCCCCATCTCTAGATCCTTGACTTAACCTCATCTGCAGGGTCCGTCTTGCCGTGTGAGGTGACATGTTCACTGGCTCTGGGGATTAGGACGTGGACATCCTTGGGAACCAGTATTCATCCTGCCACAGTAATGTGAGCAGGACCTGGTGAGGGAATCTAACAGGGAGTCGGAATTTTTTAATATTTTTGAGTCAGGGTCTTACTCTGTTGCCCAGGCTGGCTGGAGGGCAGTGGCACAAGCATGGCTCGCCATAGCCTTGACCTCCTGGGCTCAGGCGATACTCCCGCCTCAGCCTCCCAAGTAACTGGGACTACAGGCGGACACCATTATACCTGGCTGATTTTGTGTGTGTGTGTGTGTGTGTGTGTGTGTGTGGAGACAAGATCTTGCTATGTTGTCCAGGCTAGTCTCAAACTCCTGGGCTCAAGCAGTCCTCCCACCTCAGCCTCCCAGAGTGCTGGGATTCTAGTCATAAGCCACTGTACCCAGCTTGGAGTTGGAATTTTATCCTAGGTATAGTAGGAAGCCACCACTGAACTGCAGAGTAGCTTATCTTCGTCAACTTTTCAAATGCCCGTGCTGGCTCCTGTGTGGTCCCCAGACTAGACAGGTAGGAAGAGACATGGGGAGCCCAGGAGATGCTCGTTACCATCACTCGAGTGAGAGGACGGAGGCTTGAATGAAGGTAGGAGCCTCTGGACAGTTGGCCCCCTGCCTGGCCTCAGTCAGGCGGAAGTGGAAGCAACAGGATGTCAGGTTAGTGGAGGATTTCCCTGGATTTGAGCAATTCCACCTCCATTACTGGCTCTGAGACCTTGGCCAGCTTGCCAGACCTTTCTGGCCATCACTTTCTCTCCTGTAAGATGGGAATAATGGTGATGTGTGTGCCAAGGGCAGTAGTGAGTGCTCAATGAAGGCATGTAAGTAAGCCTGGTGCCCAGCCCATAACAAGTGTTCCATAAGTACATCCTGGTGAGCTTCCGAGGGTGTGTTGGGGTCTCACTCTGTTGCCCAGGCTGGAATGCAGTGGCACAGTCACGGCTACCACAGCTCGACCTACTGGGCTCAGGCAGTCCTCCTACCTCCTGAGTAGCGGGGTCTAGACACTAGATATGGTTTATATTTAAACCTTGGTACTCCCAAAAGAGCTAGATCCTAGTAGTCTTGCTCTGCAAATAAAAAAAAAATTGGACAGAAATTTCTGATAGCTGAAATTCAGAGCTCCGTCTCCCTCCAATCTCAGGGAACCCCGGAAGTTCCTGGGCATCCACGAGGAGGATCCGTGGGAAGACGTAGTGGAGGACATCGAAGGCTCTCAGACCGTGGCAATCGAGATCACCAACAACACAGACATGACCTTCAGGAACCCCTTGTAAGTTTCCTCCTCATCCTTCTTCCCTGTGTTGGGCCTGGGAACATCCTGACATCCCCACATCCGTGATCAACGAATGCCGCTTCCAATTCAGAGAATTAGTACGCAGACTTGCAATTCAGAGAGACAACGGTCTCGGTCTCACCTTACTGCATGGCTGCAGGTGAGCCTCACACCCTGTCCCAGCCTCAGTTTCCTCCTCTGTAGACACAGGTTCATACCAGGCATTGTGGACAATCAAATGGCAGTCAGTATGTAAAGATCTTTCCTTTTGAAGATCCGTGTCTTCTCTCAGCTTCTTGCGGTTCCCCCACTTGGAGGGAGTCACTGCTGATGTGATGGCCACCCCGCATGAGCTGGGTCATGTGTCATCACCACATGATGACCAGGAGCATACCCGCAGTCCCACGTTTGTCCTGGCTTCCGGGCTATGAACCTGCTCCTCTTGCTGTCCGGCCTCGTGATTAGGCCAGATCTAGGCTCTGGGAGCAGGTTGGGTAAATGACCTACATGTATCAGGTTCACAAAACAGAGGGGATAGAAAGCCATACTGGTCCCCCAAACCAGGCTACATTCTCTAGGCAGATTCACCAGCAGCCCCACCTGGCATGGAACAGGGAGGGTCTTTGCCTTTTTTTTTTTTTTTTTTAAATCAGAGTCTCACTCTTTGCCCAGGCTAGAATGCAGTGCCACAATTATGACTCACTGCAGCCTCGACTTCCTGGGCTCAGGCTATCCTTCCTCCTCAGCCTCTCTAGTAACTGGGACTTCAGGCACATGCCTCTACATCTGGCTAGTTTTTGTATGTCTGTATGTATTAGCAGTGAGGTCTCACTATGTTGCCCAGGCTGGTCTTGAACTCCTGGGCTCAAGAGATCTTACCACCTTGGCCTCCCAAAGTGATGGAGTTACAGGTGTGAGCCAGTCACGCAGCCTGTTCACCTGTCTTCTAATTAAGCAGCCTGCATTAGTTTGCTGGGATGGCCATCACAAAGGACCACAGACCGGGTGGCTTAAACTACAGACAATGACCATCTCACAGTTCTGGAGGCTGGAAGTCCGCGGGGCTGGGTTCTCCTGCAGCCTCTCTTTGGGACTTGCAGATGTCTAACCTCTCCCTGCATCCTCACAGGTCCTCCCTCTGTGTGTCTACTCCCTAGCCTCTCCCCTGTCGAGCTCAGGCCTTATTTATACTAATTGGTTGAGTTGCTCTTCTCATAATAAAGTGGGCCGCACTGTGGGGTCAGGGACTGCATCCTTGTGCTCACCTTTCATTCATTCCTTCCTTCATTTCTTTTCATAAACATTGACTGGATGCTGCTGAATCCAGTCTGCCAGGAGCCGCAGGTGCCCTGGCACACAGGTCAGGTGAGGCTCTTGCTGTCCTTGGCTTTACGTCTCCTGGGTGGAGACATGACATAGACAGGTAAACAAGCAAGTCAACAGGTTAGGCACAGAGAGAAAGTGCGAAAAGAGAGCAAAATGTGCCAGGCACGGTGGCACATGCTTGTAATCCCAGCACTTTGGGAAGCTGAGGCAGGAGGATCACTTGAGCCCAGGAGTTTGAGACCAGCATGGACAGCACAGGGAGACCCTGTCTCTCAGAAATAAAATAAATTAGCTAGGCATGGTGACACACGCCTATAGTCCCAGCTACTTGGAGACTGAGTCAGGAGGATCACGTGAGCCCAGGAGGTCAGGGCTGCAGTGAGCTGTGATTGTGCCACTGCACTCCAGCCTGGGCAACAGAGTAAGACCCTGACTCGAAAAATAAAAAAGACAGCAAAATGTGGCATGTGCTGGAGTGTGAAGGGCTCTGCAGGAAAGTGGCTGGTGGTCGGAGAAGGTCTCCTGATGAGGAAGAGACCTGACACCAGATGCTGAGAAGGGGTAGCCATGAGGAAGTCTGGGGGAACAGGAAAAACAAGTGCAAAAGCCCCGGGGTAGCAAGGACCTTGATCTATACAAGGAAAAGGAAGAAGGTTGTTAATTGCTGGATCAGGATGTGGTGGGGGGAGTACAGCACAGAATGAAGTGTGATTAGAGACTGGGTGCAGTGGCTCACACTTGTAATCCCAACACTTTGGGAGGCCAAGGCAGGAAGATGTTTGAGACCAGCCTGGGCAACATAGCAAGACCTCATCTCTACCAAAAAAAAATTAGCCAGGCATGGTAAGGCATGCCTGTAGTTCCAGCTACTTGGGAGGCTGAGATGGAAGAATCACCTGAGCCCGGGAGGTCATGGCTGCAGTGAGCTGTGATCGTGCCACTGCACTCTGGCATGGGTGACAGAGGGAGACCCTGACTCAAAAAAAAGGAAGAGAAGGA